TCGGTTAAATTGTTACCATCCAATTTCTTTACAACTGTTGATAACCTCTTTTCGGATAACTCTCTGTTACTAGGCAAAGGAGGATGACAATCAACCCAGGGCAAACTTACTTCATATCGACCTTCTTCATTTATAGTGGTAGTTTTTATAAAATGCTTTTTAACTGCCAAAGCCTTTTGCTCTTTGGAAACTGATTCACTTGTATCAGTAATGCCTATAGTGTCTAATCTCCACAGTTCAGATATGTCAGCATCATTAATAAACATTGATGTTACAACAGTGGAGAGTGTAGTTGAACCTGTACTACCACTAATTATAGCCTTACCCATCAGTGTCCATCCCAGAAGAGTTTCCATAGCCACTAGTCCAGATTTCAGTTGAATCATATTTCCCGTGAATAGTTTACCCGCTATATCCGCTCCAATCAAAATACCAATTGGTAGCTCGGTCTCATGTATGTCAGTCAGAGAAACATTTTTCTCTATAAGTTCCTGTATCCAGGGACCTTTGGTAACAGGTGAAATTTCCCCACATATGGTAGTTTGACTCAATACCTCAAAGTTGCAGTTGTAACTGTAATCTTGACTGGTTAGAAACACACGATGTCTGTTATGAATTACTTCACCAGATTTGACATTACCAAAAAGAGAGTGTATGATTGTTTCTTCTCCTAAGCTTTCGTAATTCATTTTTTCAGCCAAGTCCTTTAAAATGTAAGAACGCTGTGAACCAGAATCAAAAAGAATGCGAACAGTCTCAAATTGATTACTACCTGGGGTTCTTAATCTTGCCCTTACTGTTTGCAGAAACACTTTCACTCTGCTACTTGATTTATTGGCCAAAGCGGTATCTTCCACTACTGTAATTTCTTTAGATATCTCATCAACACATTTGCTTACACACTCATTCACTACTTCTTTGGAATGAATACTAGGACACATTATAGGATAATGTTTCCTTTTACAATTAGAACATGACAAATGAGCTCTACAATCCTTAATACGGTGACCAGGCTGCAAGCAAAGGAAACAGCATTTCTTTTCCTTTAAAGTGGACACCTTATCAGACAATGGCAATTTCTGAGCAGCAAAACAGTTACTACTCTTATGATTCTTATCACAAAAGACACACTTTGTATAAGAGTTTTGAGTTTTACCAGAAGACATGAGGCATGAAGCTGTTGGTATGTCTATCTTACCTGGTTGAGTTTGAGATGACCTTTTAAAAGATTTCTCCTTCCCCGAGCTACTTATCCCAAAACCTGCCATGGCTAGACCGATTCTCTGTTCCCCTTCAACTTCAGACAACATAAACTTCATTAAATTGTTGAGTCTTTCCTGAGGGTCTGTACCTACTTTCAAAGGGCTTCTTTGCCACGCCCTTAAGAGATCTTCAGGCATACAACTTTCAACTAACGGGTATAACATGGAGGAACATTTATCTGTTGTAACTCCCAAGGTATCTAATGCACGCATATGAGACTCAAGTTTGTCATATAAACTTTGTAAGTTCATTGTGTTCTTGCCTCCTAGAGCATTTTGTAAAACAATTTTCAAGAGTTCCCTGACATAAACCTCTACCAATAGGTCATCTTTACCAAATCTGGCTTTCAAACATTCAATTGCTTTTGGATAGTTTGCACCAGTCGGAGGAAAACTCTGAACTACATCAAAAGCTCTTGATCCGGTAACTATGGATTGCAATAAATATTGAAACTTATCCTCTGAATCAATGTCTGAGTCACTATGAATTTTGCTAAACTGACTCCAGAAAGGTAGCCAATTGATCAATTCTCCATCAAACTTTTTGATCTCTATTTTAGGGAGCTTAAATTTCTTCTTACTAGCATTGTTACAGCAAGATCCAGAATGCGCACTAACTACATTGTTACTTTGTTGTAGTAAATTCTGGACTCTTAATTTTACAGCTTCAAACAAAGCTAAATATTCTCCAGCTAAGATTGTTTCAGCTAACAGCTCATCTTCAGAAACATTATCATTATTCAATAACAAATCAAAGATCTGAGAATTCAAAACCTGGAGTTCATCAACCTTTATCTCCAAAAGCTTTAGAGTGGTTTGAATTTCAATTTTGTCTGTGGTTTCATTTTCAACTAAACTGTTTAGTTTGTTCAATGTTTTAGAAAAATAAGCCCTATATACTGTTCTATTTTTCTTTAGATTTTCCATCATAGAGATAGGTGAAAAACAAGTCCTGTCACGGTCGCCAAATGTTATTTTACACTACACACCTACCTTCTTCAAGTGATGAAAACCATAAAGATAAAATTAGAAAAAACTAGACTTTTTAATACCGCACTTCTATTTTCAACAACTCATATAAAACTATTATGACAACAACAAAACAAAACCATATGACAATTTAAATTAGTCAAAAGTAAATATGCATCATATCAACAGACTAGGAAATATAACAGTTTCTACCTTTTGGACCGCAAAATCAAAGAACTTTATTGACAGCATTTAAAGCTGACTTCGTTAAACATTCTGTTACTACATTCTTCAAAAATGTAAACATTGTGAAACTTTGGAATCCCATGGGGCGTAACTCAAAGAAAACACGTTAAATGTAATCGGTATATTTGTTAACCAGGTACAGGGATACCTCTTGAATTGATATAGATAATAAATCGAAAAATAAAGAAATATAAGTTGATTGATTATTGGCTCTTACAAAAGGGTAAACAATCAAGGAACATGATTTAATTAAGTAACCACACATCACTTATATCTTCATTCTTTCTTGTAAAAATCGCTTTGATTGTGGCTATATAAAATAGGGAAGTAATATTTCACTGTACAACGAGCTCAAAAAGCTCGAGAACCAGCAATAAGATGGAAATAACCGGCAGAACCTTTAACCATCCACTGGCTCGCTAGTCGCTACCCCAGGTCGGTCGGTAGCCGGGTAGCCCATCAATGGAACCCGTTAGGCTCGCCCCTACCTCTCGCCACAAAAGAGACAAATATTTTGCCTTGTTCCACACGCCTTTGATTGTTTGAGGCGGGAAAACTATTTGTGTGCTACGGCCCGCGCAACACAGGATATTGTTTTCGTATTAGTTGGCCTTTTTCCAAGATGACCGTGACCGTTAACTTATTTTATGGACTCCCTTGGAGAATAATTCAAAACTACAAAGAACATTTCTAATCCCACAGTATACTAGCTATTTAAATTATAAACACTTTGGTGTTTGAAAAATATTTTTGGACGATAAATTTTGCAGCTTTTTGAAATCATCCAAGATGGCCGCTTGCCTCCAAGGACTCAACAATAGGCCTAATTGTGCGACTATAAAGCAATAACTTCCCACCTTACGCTTGCGAATTAGTACGGTACATATTTGTATCCACAGTTGCCAGGACGACTATTAAGACGACCAAAGATTACATTGACATTTAGGTATTTAATCTGTAGAATAGTAATTGTTAAGTAATCTGGAAGACAACTAATTAAAATGAAGTGCGAAAGATCGGTTATGAGAGTGCTCAATGCCTGAAGCATAATCCATTTGTTTGAGGTGCGGATTTTCAAGCTTGTAGAACAAATAAATATCACAAAGTAGAAGGGCAGGGGTGAAAGTGACTGAAGTGACGGGATACCCGGGTGGATTTTCAGTGACTGGATTCCAGTGGTATGCGGTAAAATATATAGTGACTGACTTAGCAGCACAAATTTTACGTGACTGGCTTTCCCATGCAAATGCGGTGGTGACTGCATTAGCATAGCATTTTTTACGTAATTATATTTTAGTATTTTTAAGAAAAAAAGAGATATATACGTTCAGATATGTCTAGGCTTAAGATATTTACCAACATATATTATATATATATCATAGTCTTGAAATATATTGGGGGGTGCAACTGACTGACTTCCAGTGTATATTTTATGTGACTGGCTTCCCGGGCGCGGCCGTGTATATATATCTATATATATATATATACATATATACAAATTTGAACGAATGGTGTTTTTGGCCTCTGGGGACATCAAAATGAAAAAGTAAATCGGTCCCGGGCTTACTTATCATGAGACCTACGGTAATAGCTACTTCCCTATAGGGAAATTTGCTAAAACGCATAACAAAAAAATTGATATGCTTACTAAGTAGACAAATAATCCAGCCTAATGGCAGTGAGGGGCTGAACAAAATCATAACCTCCATACATGACGGATTTGAACAGCTTATTGTTTGTTTAGTTTGGAATCATAGTATGGGGAAAAATTTTATGTCACTCTTCCATAATGTGTTTACCGTACTCATATGATTATTCCCCACTCAACTTCCTCTCAGGACGGAACAACTAGTACACACCATTTCCAGACAAGGAACGTAACGGGCTATGTATTTTCAAATGTACATGTTAATATATCAAGACAATTTTCATACACGATTTATGCAGTTTATCTTCAGAAAGGTTAGTGTTGAAAAGTCAAAAGGCCTAGAGGTATCAAATAGAATACACATATATAGGTACAAATAGAAGTTTTTACATAGGTCTACAACACATAAACAAGATTTTCCTACAGTTACCTGAGTTACAAAGTGGGCTTCCTTGCAATGATTATAGCACGCCAAGTAGCTAATTGCTGCATTTACTTACTTTTACCGCAATCCAGTATTTCAACCAAACAACACAAAACAGTGTGATTTTATTAGGCATGTAATATGTGTACGCTTAAAAATAAGTTGGCAACACTTAAAGATACTACGACTACGATCAGCTGGTGCAGCGTTTCCCATTTCGTTTAGCACTTGGATTAAAGCTAACCTAAAAAGGTGTTGAAAAGGTGTTAACCTAAAATAGTGTTTGAAAGATAGTGTTATAAGAATAGTATAGTAACTGTAGGAAAAATATAATGTATATATAATGTATACATATAATGTATGTATAAATATAAAGTGCCTTTGCTGCACATCGTTACAAAAATAACTATTGGCCATCTTCTAAACAAATAACAACCCATATCAAACTTACATAGATGTTATTCCAGGAATTATATTGACACAAGCAGCTAACTGATTTTCCACTAAACCCCTGGAACAAAAAGATTTGTCATGAACTATTGAATCTAAATTTCTTTTCTACATATTATCCTAGGCCTATCTATAATCAATTTGAATCAGCATCTAAAGCACTCTCAAAAGATGCCTTTACCTGACCCTAAAAAACAAGTTACTTGTCAGTCCAAACTTCCAAAAACATATTTCATGTAAGTGCCTTTGGTACCACTAGCCCCCTTCGCTGCCTAAGAGGTAGAATGTATTGCTGATTCTTCCCACCTGGTTTCAAAGTTAAGCATAACATAACAAATAAAATATAACAATACTATGTCATACAAGCGGCAACAACCTATATCAAATTCATCTGAAAAGTTGTGCTGAAGACCACAGCCAACACAGCTGACCATTCAACCAATTAAGATGGTGAACTAAAAAATAGTCTTTCCTGCCGCAAAGGGATTAACTGGCTGACAAAGAACTTAAAAATACAAAATAATTTATGCCATTATACAAACCTTGCAATTTTTTTTGCAACTTCTTGACTTGGAGCTGTTATATACACCACTGAAAACAGCCCTGGCTTGAATACATTTGATGCCATTGGAGATAAAACAGCGATCCAAAAATACGCAAAAATGGATCCAACTACCAAGATGAGAAACGTATAGTTCTGTAAACAATAAAACAAAATAGTATTAGTGTTGTACTGTACTTAATTTGTTGCTAATACTCCAGGTTATAAAGGTGGTAAATAAATGTTAACCTTTTGTCAAATAGGTAGGTACTTATTTACTTAGTTCTTTGAACTATCTCACCAATGGAGATGTGGCACTTAGGACGTAGGTAGACAGAAGACAGGTTTTGTAAGTTGTAATTGTTACTAGGCCTACTTAGCTGGTTTTCCAGCTACCTAAGGGATTAGGCCTAGCGGCTATCTGTGAGGTTTGCCTCTACAACATCTGAAGTCTTCATCGGTACATGGGGGTACCACAGGGGTCAATCCTGGGGCCTACGCTGTTCATCATCTCCATCAACGACATTGTGAACTGTATTTCTACCAATTGCCTTCTATTTGTTGATGATATGATATACAGTGTTATTGGTTGTTGGTTCCGAACAGGACTGCAGTGCTCTTCAGGGCGATCTTTAGGCCATTTACAAGTGGTGCATAGATAACAGAATGAGCTTGAATTTGAAGTGCATCGCCTTTACCTTTCACAGAACAACTACTCCTAGATTGCATGCCTGTAGACTACAGGGTGATGTTCTCACTAGGCCTGCACCCATCAGGGATCTTGGAGTTGAGGTGCTTCCATCCTTAAGCTTTAGAAGTGAGGCCCATGTTGAGAGGATTTGCTTGCAGGCTAGTAGAGCCTTAGGACTTCTTGTTCGATCCTCAAGACATCTTTCCCAGTTGCGGACACTTAATCCCCTGTACTGTTGTAATGAGAGACCTTTTTTGGAGTATTGCTCTGTAGTATGGGCTCCTCATCAAGTCACCCTTTGAGACCTTCAAAGGATCCAAAATAATTGTTGAGACTGGTGGGGTTTTGGCTGGGCTATCGCTATCTTGAAGTTCCATTGGGTGTGGTATCCAACTTTCTGATTCTTCCAAGCTTGCAAACCAGACATGATGAACTTGATGTTGTTTTCCTATACAAGCTGGTTAATGGACGTGTGGACTGCCCTGACCTGCTTGGGAGGATCTACTTCCATGTTCCTTCTGCCACAAGATCCAGAGACATGTTTGCACGAAGGCAACATAGCACCAACTACGCAGCAGTAAACTATGGATCGCATTTAGCAGCTTGGCAATGTTGTATCTCCGCATATGGATATATTTGCCTCCAGTAAACAAAGTGTCAGATGCCTGGTTGTCGTCTTGCTTTGCGTTGAATAATTTACTAGTTTTTTCAAGGGTCATCTCTGTGTAGTACACTTGTTGTTTTTATTGTTATTGTTCTATAATATGTCCAAATTGTTACGTTGTTGTCATACCACAGATTTATATTTTTCAAAGAAAAAAAGAAAACAAATTTACATACCAACTATTGGCATATTTATTATCTTATTATTATTATTTATTGTTACCTATTACTTATTGTTGTTGTTACTATAGGCTATGTTAGGCTATTGCTTATTGTTATTTATATTCATTATCTTGAGCAAATGAATGGATATCAATCTCAATCTCAAAATATTTAAATTATTGTAAAATGGATATATGCCTACCATAAATAAACAAATAAATAAGTTGTAAGTTGTCAAATAAGGGAGATATTCACAAAAATCTGCAATGCTAGCCTATTTTGGATTTATGCTCCATCTTTTTGCAAAGCATGATTAGCTTTGGGAATTCACTTAGGCCTATTTAACTTAAGTTAGTTTTTAGCCTATGACTATTCGGTAAATGATTTAGCCTAGACTGCACTTTAGGTTAAAGTGTACACTCATTCGAATGAATATATCGATCGATTTAATGATTACAGTATTTCATTCAATATAAGTTATCAAGTTTGGTTAGTTAGGTTAAAACCTAACCTAACCAAACAAATCAAATAATTGACATATCGAATAATCTATATAGCTAATTGTCATTCGAATGAGTGTAGGACGTAAACTTAAGTGCAGCCTTAGCCTACCGTGTTTAATTAACACAAGGGTCGAAAGAGACTTAAAAATTATATAAAAAAAACTAGCCTAAATGTTTATAAAACTCCAGCTAATTAAATACACAAAACAGGCATTGAACTGGACAAGGACATCACATCGCGAGCGTTTCAGGGCAGGAATTGGACTAGCCTACTGCGCATGCGCAAACCGTAAAATTGAGCTGATCTCAAATGAACGACTCTCACACAATTGAAGCAAAAGAGTTGTTTACTGTTCTGTCGTTCTGTCGTTCTGTCATCTGTCTGCCCCTGCCGTGCCCCAGCGATTGTAGTTTTCAAAGTCTTTAAGCTGTGTTTTTTTTTTATAATTTGAGGTTTTTTCGAAGTATCGTATGTTTTGAAGTCGGATTTAAGTGTATAAAAGAGTGTTTATTGTTATGCGTTCTACCGTGCCATCCCCGTGCACCCTTGTAAGTTAAAGCATGGTTAAAGTTAGTTTTTATACTGTAGGCCTAATCTTTAAAAGTGTTAGTTGTGTTTTGTTCCAAGTGTTGTCCAAATAAAACAAGGATACAGTTTCTTAACTGGGCTACACTAATATCGATTCGATTAGTAAACTGCGATTTTTTCACCATCAACAAGTTTGGTTAGGCCTAGTTAGGTTAGGTTATGATAGATTAATTTTATAATAGACATTAAGTTATATTTTAAAATATCTATTATTAATCAATATTTCAATTCGATAGTTCCAATCGATATTAGCGTAGCCCAGTTAAGAAACTGTTGTACAGCTCGGCCAAAACTTCTGTGCGCGTGGACGGGTCGCTACTAGCGGAACTAAAACATACGGGCACCGGCTATTGGCAGTGCTGGGGGTAGTGGTGAGTGAGTAGCAAGACACAAATGTTTTCACAAAAGTACCCCCACCAACCCTCTCGCCTAAGTTAGACTCAACCAGATCTGGTCGCGCGCACAGAAACTTTGGCCAACCTGTACCCCTGTAGGGTCACACAGTTAGGACATGGTTAGGACCATGTCAGGACGAATCTTATAATTATATAAGAACTGTCTAGGCTGTGTGGTAAAAGGCACTTACAAAATAAGTTACCAAGCGGTGTAACTTTCATATTAGAAACCCTTGGGTGAGTTGTATAAAGGCCTAATCTTTAGGTTGACACATTTAAACCTATAGCCTGTAAACCATTAACTGTTTGGAAAAAAGTCTATGCCGTATACTAAATATGGTCCTTAAGCCAATTAAAGGTGTAGGCTAACTAACTAACATTTAAATAACTTAGGCCTTGGCTAGGCTTTGCATTACCCTGGCGTAGGCCAAGGCAAGGTTCCGCTATCGATAGACAGGCCTACACTATAGTACCCTATTAGGTTACTACATTATATTGGGTCTCTCACTCTTTGGCAGTTTCCTGTTAAAGGGAACATTCATTATTATCGATGATTTCTTTTCGATATAAGCTTATCAATATTTTTGTTTTACTTGACGATTCATAACTTATTCCTTCTGTTATCTTCAAACACATTTAAATTATCTACTAATTTAAAAGTAGACCAAACCTTGTTTAGGCAAACATTTAATAGCCTATTTTAATGGATTATAAAATCGAACTAAGCTAATCTAACCTAAGTTATAACATAACTAACCAAACTTGCTGTATAGGCTATGTTACCGTTTCAAAATTCCGTTTAATAACAGAAAAGGAATGGGGAATGGCTGTTTAACAGACAGAAAAATAAAATTTTGGTATTCGAAAAGAAATGATCTACCTATAATAAATGTTCCCTTTAACAGGAAAGTACCCATTCTTTACATTATACCATAGACAAAAAGAATTAAATATAGACCATCAGCTGTGCTGCGGTTACCATAGGTTCTGGCGCACACCGCTTGGAGCACCACGGTAGTTACGGCGTACGCGCTACGTAAACTACAGCGGTGTGCGCCGGAACCTATGGTAACCATGGCAACCGCAGCACGGCTGGTATAGTCTATATAAAATTCTTTTTGTCTATTATTATACTTGCTACTCATACACACATATAGTCTCTAACTTAATAAGAATGCTGTAACCTTTTGAAAGAGGCATTTCCTCGCGCTGTTGTAATAGTCAGAGTATTAAAACATCGTTTGTTTAGTTTAAATAGCGGTTTGTTTGAAATTATTTAGAGTAACATGGCCATGAGAAACATGCTATTTGAAACTCCAACGACAGGAAAATATACGTTAAGTTTTATAAACGATTAAATTGTAGGCTAGTTATTTGTAGCGGCCAAAAACTGATGTCCCGTTACCTACTTTTAGGAATAAACAATCTGTCCTCTACTTAGTGATGTAAAAATCATTATACAGCTTGTTATGGTCATATTATTATAAAGATCAAAATAACTAGGCCTACAATTTATTCTTTAGTTGGGGTAATTTTGATGAAACAAATAACAATACATTTACAGTCTTCATTTTATGCTAGAATGTTTTTCTATAAACAATGTAGGCTATTAAGAACTGCAGTAAAGTCCTTTAGAGAACCTGCAATATCAGTACCTTCAATACCTTCAATATATTGGGTGAAATAACAGTTCGTTATACAAATAGTACTTTATATTATTCCCTGCAATATAAATTCCGATTTTTGTTTTGAGTATTAAAGGTACTGTATCGTGATATGAATATTTAAAGCCATAGATTCTTTTCAAATAGACTTTCACACTGTGCTGTGGTGGTTAAACAAGGTTAGTTCAGTGTGGTTTAGTTTATGTTAATAAAAACCAGGTAACACCTAAATAAATACAAATTGTTCCAATAGCATCATCATTGGGTTGGGTTAGTGTTGTACAGTTTTCTATCAAAACTGATTGTCAAAAGCGCCAAATTATACCTAGTCGTGTCTTTTCATGAGTAACTTAACTTATAGAAAAAAGCTAAACGTTTTGTTAATGATACCTTGTTTGTTTATAAACTATAGGCCTACCACTTTCAAAAGAACCTGCGCAGAACCATGGCTGTCTCGCGCATGTAGGGGTGAAGGGTGATGGTGGGGAAGGGCCTGGAGCAGTGGTGGGGATAAGTCGTTGGGGCGAGGTATCTTTCCCCACCATTCTGACTCTCCTGCTGTCCTGCATGCACGACTCATACAGGTGCGTGGTTTTTTTCTATGTGGTAGGCCTATAAGCTAACATAACCTAAACGCCGCAATGGTCTGTAAAAGATTGGCGGGTGGTCCTCTTTTTAAAAAGACCCATAGGCTAACAGATTAATACGCAGGCCTATTTCTTAATCAATATATTTTATATAAATTTGAAGCTATTGTCAGTAGGCCTATTAATTTATAGAAACTGAAAATTTGATAGGATAGTATAATACATTAAAGTTTCTCTGCAGAACTTTACCCCATAACATTGCTGTAGCAGTGAAATGTAATTTTCAGAATCAGTCTTCTTCGCTTTGTATTTAGGCTAAGTAAAATTGATTTTCCTTGCTGCATATTAGGGAACATGATTACTATGTTTAATAGCCATTATAAGGTACAGTAGACTCAAGGCGTATGAAAGAAGGTGTGTGCATAGTGACGTCAGTGTGAGTAAAACGTGTTTTATTTACCACCAAATCATATGTTTTCTTGTAATTTTCCAAACACTTTCGAATGACAATCATTACGAATTAGCATTGAATATATAACACCACGAATACTAGACAAATGTTTTTTTCTAGTATTCGTGTATAACTCTATTTAGTTATATATATATATATATATATATATATATAACATTGCGTTTTATTCAACATTAAATACAATGTAGTAGTGTGTTATACAGTGTGGCAGTAGTCTAAAACATTTGATAGTAAGTACCATTTAATCGAAAAACACTAAAGCAGTAAATACTTGATACGAGCCCTTCCTCAAATCCATCCGTGGGTTCGTCCTAACTCGCGTCGTGGGAACGAGGCTAGACGAGTGTGGCCCGTGGCTACGGTCAAACTGTTCCATGTGCGTCGCACGTAAAAACGGAAAACCCAAACTCGCTGGTTACAGTTCGGCCAAAGTTTCTGTGCGCGCGACCAGATCTGGTAGGGTTTTTGGCGAGAGGGGGTACTTTTGTGAAAACATGTTGTGTCTAGCTACTCACTCGCCCCTATCCCAACACTGCAAATAACCGGTATCCGTAAGTTTTAGTTGGGCTAGCGACCTGTCCGCGCGCACAGAAGTTTTGGCCGAACTGTACAAGTGTGGCTCCGGTCTAACAGGCAATACATTTTTTAGGTAACCATTTATAAATAGTTTTTACTATAATACCGTACCTTTTTTGCAGCTCTTACATTTTATGTTTGATATCATTAAAACGCTCTGATTCAATTATAGACTTAGTAGAAAATAAATACTTACAAATAAATTGACTTTTATTTACAACAAGATATATGTGTTTAAATTCATTTTAAACACAAAGTTTCTATTCAAACTCCAAAATGGGCAGTTCGAACTATTTTTTCACTGCCCCAGCACAAATCTTGCAGAGATTACTTCAAGAAGTATAACTTTTGTTAAGAAGTATAAACTAATAAACTGTTTAACTTTCCCCAGTTTATATATCCTGCAACGTTAACTTTTGGCAAACAAAATTTGTCTTTATTTGTAGTCCCTCTTAATTGCTCTTGTAACCTCAGATGGTAAGCTGATTTGTATATATACTTTGTATGAGTAGCCTTAGATGAGTTGAATTTTGTTCTTACTTGGCTAATGCAATTGTTTTAATAATTTTTAGCTGAATAAACGAATTTGAAATTTCCTAACACTTGTGTCTATGTTATGATTTTTTTAATTTTTTTTACTACATTTCTTTTGTTTGAAATGGATTCACTCCTGATTTTTTTATTGAGATCTTTTACTCTAATATATGTACGAGTTCTAATCCATGTCATGGTTACAGGTTTTGGAAAAATCTTCTCATCATAAACAACTTCTCTTTTTAACATATTATATATGTCGGAGATAATGTTTGGGCCTTTTTTGAAATATTCGCCATGTACTTTTTGGAAAATCTTCTCTAAGTTAGTGGCTAGTGTGAGGAATTGTGGACTAGGATAAATAAGCTTTCCTCTATTCAACAAATGTATCCATTCGGAATCATCCCCATTATCTTGGTTGTCCATTGTAGTTCCGAGGTGAGGGTATTTATTTCGAAATCGGTGGCAAACATATCCCGTTACATACTTAAGGCCTTCTTCCGATATCACGTTCCATTCGTCTGCATTTGATTCACTTTCTAACATTAACAATTCATCTTCATTGTTCATTTCGTCTTCATGTAACACAGTATTTTCATGTAACTTTTCTAAATATAAACTATTTAGAAGGTCCTCGGTAATGGTTATGTCTTCTTCGATAGAATCCTGTGCTGAAAATGAACAGTTAGCTGACAGATTGCATTCAGTTAAGCTGTCGTCTGTATTTCTTTTCTCAGTAAAGACAGCTTGAGAGTGTTTACCAAGTAAATACCACCTTAATCGGTATCGGAAATCGTATGCTGAGGGGTGGTCATTTGCTGATCCCATTCCACGGATGTACGCAAAAAAGTTTTCAAGGACATCTGAATTTAATTTAGTCGTTCTTATATAATCTATGCCATTTCTAGATTTCAAATCATCATACAACAGTTGGAGTGATTGGTTGTTCATCATGATTCCTTTTTGGAAGGGTAAGAGGGTTAATTTTCCCCCGACACGCATTGTCTTCATCAAATCTGTCATTTTCTGTAGTATGGATTTCTGAGAGGCCTCATTGATGCCGTAAGCGTTTACGCCTTCATGATTTCCGTATTTCATTTTGGAGTTAAATACATCAAACCACTGGTCGACGGTTTGGAAGAACTGAACCGTATTTTCATGACCATCTTTTGTAATTAGGTTATTTTCAAAGCATAGTTTTAAGGCCATTGCAGTGGTGTTTGAGAACAGTTGTACTGCCGGTTTTACTCTCTGCCTCTGTGGCCCCCTCACGTCAATATGTGCTTGTGTGATTTTATGAGCAAGCTTTAAATCACTCTTCGAAGACAACTGTATAAGTTTCTCTACACATTCTTTGCTAACTACGTGGGCGTTTTCTAATACAAATCCATTGTCAATGTAATGGTTTCTTAGTAGCTTAATCATGTGCGGTGCATCAGCAAATACATAAATGTTGTTCTGTGTGTTTTTGTTCTTGAAATAAGGCTTGTCAGTACTCACACCCAGTTGCTTCCAAACGCCTACATTTGCACCCCCCATGTCACTTACGATTGCTACAGTTTCATAGCCTGCATCAAACAATCTTTTAACAGCCTCCATCAACAAATCTTTCGTCATTTTAGAATCATAATCGTAGTAAATTGGCTGTTTCCAACCTCCAAAAATGCTTCTAGCAATCATTACCTGGACTGATGTGCAAGGCCCAACAATTTCCTCTTTACGTATATCAACATCAATTTTACTGTCAAGTGTCATCTCATCAAATGACAAGCAAACGATATTTTCTTTGTCGGTTGCGAAGGATTTATTTGCTGATTTCATAACCGACAACACATCATCCAAAAATCCATTAGTGATGTTCAATGACAGAGCCCAACGTCTCAGTGTTGACAAGTCCGGTAGAGGATAGTTAAGTTTGTTTCGTAAGTACCTATAAGCTTTTGGGCTTACACTTCTTAGGGATATAGCAAAGGCAATATCTTCCTTTGACCATTTTATTCTCTTAGGCTTGTTTAAAAGCGCTTTTATTTGCCCTGGGCTAAAAAGAGGGGATAGAATCTTTTCAATTTCTGCATTTATTGCACTTTTGTCACTGACACAAGGAATGGATTGTAGTTGGTCCAGAAGCTCCCTTTTTTGACGTTCAACGTCGCTTTTTTCTACCTTCAATTTCTCATTTTCAGTTTTCAGTTTTTCATTTTCTTCTTCTAGTTGCTTGATTTTAAGTAGCAGGACATTAATATCTACAGAGTCATTTTCTTTTAAGAGTTCCTGTTTTTGGCTGAAACGAAATTACAAAATGATAAACAACCATGTAAAAAGTGAGATTTAGTAATGGGTTAGTGCAAATTTGGACAAAGTTGGCAACGAATTCGCCCAACCTTTTTATTTTTTCCACCATGAGTTAAGTTATGATTGTTTTTCAATTTTTGTTTCGTACTTAACAGTTATACTAAGAATAAAGTTTAACAAAATCTGTGCTAATTTTTTATGCTGCCAAGTGTGTTACAGTGTCAAGGTGTCTATATTTTATTTCCAAAAGTGATTCATACCTTGTAGAGGTTGACTGTTGATTAACCAAATCATCTATCAGTTGTCTTGGACATCTTTCTTTTGTTCTCTGTTCAGGCTGTTCTCTTTCCAAAGCGCTCATATTTTCGTTTCTGGATGGATTGAAGGGCAAAAATAATGTAGGCACGGCATCAACTACCAAATAACGGAAATTTTTTGGTGTGTAGCCTAGAAGTGTTTGCTGCAACGATTTCTTTTTTTTATATTTATCTTCAAAATGGACTGAGCAAATGGTAGCTGTAAAGTAAAACTAAAGTCAGTCCTTAAAACTAAGTTTTTTTAAATATGATTAGAATCCTAGAATGCAGGAAAAATTGGCGTATTGACAAACACAAGACCCTAAAAGAATAATACACAAAAGAATTGTTGTGATGCCTAGTCAGTCATTGGTTAAAATTCCAATATATCTATTTTAATCTTTTTTATCTAAGGGACTGTCTTTAATTTGACTATTTTAATTTGAGTATTTATTTAAAAATAAACAGTCATATGTTTGGATTGTTTTAAAAGGTAAACAAAGTTGTTTTGTTAAAAACACAAGCTCAATTTTCATTTTGTAATGAATCAATTTGGCAATTTTCTGAATTGTAATTTGATTTCCGAAATCGTCCCCTAAATCACAATCGTTAGAGAATCGCGTACAGTAAAGACGACAGAGTTTAAATTAAATTAGTTGGGTATATAATTTAATTAATTAATAATAATGTTTTTGATAAAATATTTACCTGTTTTTATGTTTATCTTTTCTTGTCTATTGCATGCTTCAATCCATTTGTTTTGCGATTCAGATTCTTTCGGGAACCGATGAAACTGTACTCCAGAGCAACTACTTTTCCTGTTCGAATTGCCACACCCGAAAACAGCACAAAACGGCATTGCCAATTAATTATAACTTAATAATGTTGAGGAATATTTAGTGATCTAACGTTTCCTGCATAACATACAGCTCGGCTGTAGCATCAGCTGTCCGTCACATTTGGCTGATTGAAGGGGTGGGGGATCTTCTTTTATAAGCCTTACCATGAGTACGTCTTACCAGTTCGTACTACGGTAATAGCTTAAACCCTACATGGAAAATTCGCTTAAAGGCCATCAACCTCTTAAAAATATATATATATGTATATAGCCGTGTGTGATCATTATTTGCGATGGTGGCAATGTCATAATAATTGCACTCACGTTATTCGTGTCTTACACAATCGCGGCAACATCCGCGATTATCTCCTGCGATTATCTCAGCATCCATGACTGTAGGCCTATTTGTGATTGTGGCCATATCTCTGATCATATCTCAATCGTGGCGAGATTCGTGATGACTTCCGTATCGCGGCAACAGCCGTGATGATTTATTTCTTGTGATTGCGGTGACGTCCTGTATTCGTGATGGTTTGCTGCGGTCGCGATTTCCCACTTCGCAAAACGAGAAAGGCCATTCGGTAAGCACCTAGTAAATTTTTGAAGTTATTAAGAAAAACCTTAGTTTGACGGGTTCTCCTACGGGTTTAGTAGTTTAGTGCTTGGGTTTAGTGTATGTCATCAAAGTGCTATAAAGTCTTTACAACTTAAGCTATATCTCATTTTGTGCTGTTTCTGTTAAATATATTTAAATACAATCTTGTCGTTTTATTTGTAACTATTTTCCACTAAGGCTACTTAAATGAGAGATATTCAATTATATAAAACATAAGTAGGAGCTGAAAAAAGGTATTATATTCAAACTATTTGTATATTGTCACCTAAAAATATGTTGCCTGTTAAGGCAGCCACAGTTACAATATTTACTGCTTTACTGTTTTTCGATTAAAAGGTATTCACTATCAAAATGCTATATACTAATACTACCACCATTGAATATGCTGTATAACACTATGACTATATTCAATATTGAATACAACAATATATTTGATATAATACGCTAAATAGTGTTATATATTCAATGCTAATTCGTAATGATTGTCATTCGAAAGTCTTTGGAAAATTACAAGAAAACATATGATTTGGTGGTAAATAAAACACGTTTTACTCACACTGACGTCACTATGCACACACCTTCTTTCATACGCCTTGCAGTAGACTCCCTCTTATTCGGACACCTTTTAACCTGACATCGGTTAAACCAGACAACACTCGGTGGAAATTACATCTCTCTGCCTATTTTGCTAGGAGCGACTGTAGCGATAGTCGCACAGCGATTATCGCTCATCTACTATAGCTGACAAGGCGGCCGTTTTTCTTAGAGCGATTGATTTTCGGTCGCACAGCAATTTTTCATAGTTAGTTAAATATCAGCACTCACAATGGTGAAGTCATGAGTGCGAATTGTAAGTCATTAAAGCGTCTCCTCGGTGAGGATTTAGGAGACGAGGCTCCACTCGACCCTTGTGGAAGTATCAATGGACGATGGATTGAAAATACATAGTAATACGTAGGATTAGGGACGGATACGTATCACTAGAGGTCACTAGATAGGACATAAATAAAAAACTGTAGTGATATCAATGAAAAAATATATTTATATAAATACAAAAATAGTGATATCAATAAGAGTACATGAATGTCGGAAAATAAAACCTGGAGTCTAAATTTAAAAAAAAATATTCATACAAAAACTGACACAGTATTAACGCCCACACTACGTAAATAACACATAACAACTTGGAACAGTCAAGCAATTTAATTTTAATAAATTTGAATAGACGTAAATAACCTTAACAAATTTAAACAAGTCGCCTGTTTCTACTAAAATTTAATTTAGAAAATGAAATTAATGTGTAATGAAATAGAACCAAAACAGTAGAATCGTAACAGCACATGAATAGAAAAATTAATGTAAACAAAAAAGTAAATTATGGTTAATTTAACCCCTACTGAGTGAACTGCACTGTTTTGAGGTTCTGCGCATCAGTCGCGGAGCGATTATCGCTCAGACTGGTCCCCGGGGCAGTGGTCCACGACTGTAGCTAGCGACTCTTGCGATAGTCGCTCCAAGCAAAACAGGACAACGCAAACTCCGTCAGAGCAGTGCCCGATTATCGCCACACGACTATCGCTGAAATCGCTCCAAGCAAAATAGGCCTTTAACCGGGCAATTTTTATCAGCACATCGGTTTAACCGGACTAGGTCGGCAGGAAGTGGGAGGTAAGCGTTACTGAAATGACTGTTCTTGTGTTAAGGATATGAGAACAGTGATTATGCTCTACTACATTTTAGTCAAATACTTTATATACAGTATGCATTTAAACGGTCAGTTTTAATGAGTTTATGGGACGTCAGTTTAACGAGAAAACCCATTATCCGGACTGACCTCGGTCCCGAGAGTCTGGATAAGAGGGAGTCTATTGTACTGTACATTTTACTATGTTATAGTGGCACGAATAAAAAAATAACAGCCAAAACTTCATGCAATAACCCCATAGTACCACATACAATATGTTTACTAGTGTGAACTACGCTGTAGGCTTCACATTGAATGTGTTGCCCATGTTTATTAAATTAACCTAAAACAGAGTTTTTTTGTTACAGAGTCATTGATTGAGGTGCTGGTGAACTGATTGAAGACTTAAAAGAGTGAAAATTTAAAAACGTACGTTTTCAGGAAAAGCACTTTGCAATTTTTTTCCCCTTTTTTCAAAACTCTTATTATTTTTTTTATTTCATTAACATTTGAAGTTTCATAAAATGTCCATGGTAACGCAATATCTTTGGTAGTTTTTTTTTTAAAGAGCATTTTTAGTGGAAAAACACAAAATCCTGTCACGACCATAACAGACGTTTAAATTAATATTAAAAATAGTTAATACTATTTTTATAACTATGTTTTGCTATAAACTAATTTACTTTTATGACCATTATACAATAAAAAGGTCACTGAGCTTTTGGTATATTTGGTCTTTCTAGAAAAAAATAAAAAAACTCAAAAAATTGAAAAAAAGCCAATAAAATCTTTTTAAGTTTGTATAACTACGAAAAAACTTACCTGAGACCCGAAAAATCGTTATGTTTGTATAGAGGTTTGCTTCTTTTGTGTATAAAACATTGAAATATGACGATATTTTAATTTTTGAAATTTTTATGATAGAAATCATAAACGTGATGGTCAGGGACAAGCGGTACGGTCGTGAATTTTCTGAAATAATCTAAATCTTTCTAAACAATCCTTCAATTATACTGTTAGTTATAATAAAAATATGTGTTTCAATTGAACTAAACTGTTCAATTTACAATTATATTAAAGTTATTGTCACGACCAAACACACTATAATCCATAAGGCTGGATTGGTCGTGAAAAAACCCGCGATGGTCGTGAAACTTTGGTCGTGAAATTACGTGTTATTTGGCTCTGTTCTGATGGTAGCCCTGCACCTCATGTTCGAGGATACAAAGTGGACATCTAGGTTAATCTAGCAATTGAAATATCTTATAAAAAAAAATTAACACCATGTCTACTTCATCGAATGACTACGTACGGTCATGGACACACCAAAATTACAAAAAAACACAATCTTTCCTTTATTAATCTTGTAATTCCTCCTTTCAACTCGAAACGACCGGCACTACAATCCTGACGTACACCCCGAACTAGTCTCTAAAACCAATTGACTCCATCGACGCCAGGCTTGCCACTGTCGTGCTCCAAAGTTGAAAATTTTTCCCAAATGGTCGTGACGCCAAATCGAGGGATAGACTTATTTTGTCATGGTAGTCAGTTTGCAATGACAATAAAATTATAATATGCTCCTTTTTTGTAAGTTTAATAACCATTGATGACATAAAAATATGGCTTTATATATTTCGGCATGAATAATTTAGTCTAAAAACAGTGTGAAAGTTGGAAAATGTACCCTAGGGACACGCCATGGTCGTGAATTTCGAGACTTTGAAAATACGAAAAAAATACCTAGAAGCTATTTAAAACCAAATAAATGTGTGTAACATGTTGCTCCCGTCCCAAAAAATATTAAAACACATAATATTAAACTACAAATCCAGTATCTACGAAGTAAAAGGCCAGGGACATGAAAACGTACGTTTTTAAATTTTCACTCAAAAATGTTTTTTTATTAGTGTGAGGTGTGATAGTACGGACTGTTGTGATAAATTACCACTGTTTATGATTTACTTTATATGTTTTAAAATAAATGTTCTACATAAACTATTAAAATTGAATGATCATTTACAATGCCACTATTTCCAGCTGTAATATTTTTTTTATACTTCTTTTAATTATTTTTTACTTTGTTTCTAAACATAAGTTCTGATGTAGTCAATATTTGCATAATATGCACTTTCAAAAATATAAAATAGTAAACACAACAGCTTTGTATATACCATTGTTATTATTTATTGGTGTTTTTGTATTGCAATCGTTAAGTTGCATGCGTAGTTGCAGATGCATTGGTCTGTTTAAATGTATAAAGGAACTAAAATAAAATCTGAAAATTCCAGACTAACATAAAGATTATTCAAACAAGGTTGAAGTATGTAAAAAATTCCAAAAACTATTATTTTGAATTTGGTAAGTTTAATTTGATACCAAATATCGTTGACCTTATTTCCTATATTTTCTCTGGATGGTATTTCAATTTATTTTATAGTTGCAATGATTCTGCTCCACTCAAATTCCAGGGCATGGACTGCAATCAATATCTGCCAACATCAAATTCGAGAAAATCTAAAAATTTGTTAACTCACTTGTATATACCGTATAACATTTAAATACAACACGAAAAATAATAGGATTTCCTGGAATTTTTCTAAAATGTTTGAGATCATTCTCAACTTCCCAGGCAATTTCCTTGAATATACTCAGATCATTCATAAAAAATATTCTAAGAAAACTTTTATATGGCCTAGAAATCTGGAGAACATTCTCAGAATATTCTGGAAAAGTACTCTGGAATATCCATGGTAAGTATATTCTGAACATATGAAGTTTAAATTATTAATTTTGTCAAGTATGACAAAATAACTTGAAAAATACAAAAAAACAATGTTTTTAGGGTAAAAAATGGGAAAACTCAATTTTTAGTCCATTCCCATAGTTAGTATTAAAGTACCGAATAGGTACTTAAAATGCAACGGATGATGGGGGTGACAGAGATGACTGACTCAAGTCGTCAATCGTCACGGAGGTAGCTAACAGCAGAACTGAAACTGATTACTGAACTGAACTAGTAAGTTATGACTCCTGAGTCGACTCGTTGAAGACCAAATACAACTGAATTGGTTCTTTCTGGCGCATGCGCAGTAGGCTAGTCCAATTCCTGCCCTGAAACGCTCGCCATCACATCACCAGGAATATAATACCACGGTACTGCAATAGAACCATTAAAACAGTCACTCCATTAAAAGACAGAAAAATATTCTTGTAGGCCTAGCCTAATAATTATACTATTATTTATAATATTAGTATGTAACTGACCACCTCACCCTCAGTTAGATAGTATGTTTTTGTTTTTGTTTACCACTTTTTTTGCACCACCACACCGACCCCGCTGTTCGTCTGCTTCTGCTAGCTCAGTGGCTTCTGCTAATCAATCGGATCGGGTTCCTGAAAGGATCGTAGGAACCATCAGCTACGTCATATTGGTGGTCCGTCTCCCGTATTCCAACTTTCCAGGATTACTGACACTGGTTGTTTATTTCTGGGAAGTGTGCATTTTAGGGTTTTGGGATGTCGATAATCTGGGACCCCACGGCACCAGACATTAGATGTTATGGTGAAATATACCATGGATAAAACCATAGATAACAAATAGTATATTTCTCATACTTTCAGGAATTTAAAGCCTTGTTAAAGAAAACTGTCTAATCATAACAATAACTCACCCCCTAGTTATATAACCATTCATAGCACAAATAATGAAATTAACCCTAAAATAATAGAAACAAAATTTCGTCGGCACTAGCAACCAGTGTCACCGGACATGAACTAAGCTACAACAAGAAACAAATCGTAAACAAAACACGACCTCTACCAGTGCACCGGACAGAGCCACGACCACCTTTAACTCCAGCAGGCTGCGGCCAGTGGCGGCGATAGTAGGCCCGCAGGGCCCGTGAGCCTTGGCCGGGGTTTTAGGTAAATTTTACCGGCACACGGGCCCACGATAGTGTGACAGGCTCAGCCACACTGGTCCCCTATCATATAACAATATTGATAGGTATGAGAATTAAAATAAGTTTTTTATGATGAAAATTTGTTAAAACCTATAGTTCAAGTAGTTTACAAATGCTAAACTAACACTAATTACTTGACCGATCGATATAAATTATCTACCAACCTTAGTAAAAAAAGCAGTCATTAACTGCATTAACTGTCCTCGTGGATTGTGTGAAGGCGCAGTCAAAATTGGTTGCATAATAATAGGGCCGTATTTATAACCAATGTGGCCTCTGGCCTAGGAAGATAAAACATTAATGTTAATCCTCCTAGCCCCCAGCGGGTGACACCATAGAGGATCCTCTATGCTGATTTGACTAAATAAACTTGACAATTTTGTTACGACCAAAATCGGCAAATTAACCTAGGTGGCTAGGGCACTATACCTAATAAATAATTCCATTCTTTCTTTCATTGATGCTAAAGAAGGATTTCCTCATGTCTCACTATTCACTATAGATCAAGCACAAAGTCAGAAAATCAAGCTCGAGCCGATTTTCTCAGTATTCAAAACAATAATGCACAATTAAAAGTAAAAGCTTTTATATCCATGAGGATCACGCTCACGAAATTGAAAGATTAGGCCTACGCTTTTGCCGCGATCGCGGATATCGACGAGAACATTTCCCCGTGTGTGACGATGACGATGTCTCCGCGGCTGCAGATGTTCAATATTTTGCCGCGATTGTGGAAGACGATAATGACGTTTCTTTTTTAGCGAGAGATATATCTAGGATTTAGCCACGATTACGGAAAAATTATTTACCCGTCACCACCGACGGATCGCGGGGAGATATTAGGCCGTGACATTAGATTGGGCCGTGAACGCGGGAGACGATGATACTGTTATCTAATGATGTCATAGGTTTGGTTGCATTTGCAATCACGGTAAACTATGATCATGTTTCTTCCATGACTTATGACTACGGGAAGTATTTATGATTTTGCCACGATCATGGAAGACGATAATAACGCCTCGGGAGATGCCTTGTCAAGTTTATTGCAAAATTGCAAGTTTAGGCGGTAATACATGGGCAATTTTTTTTAAGATCATTGGGAGAGGGGGCCCGGCGAAAAAACTTGCGGGGGGGCCCGCGGGTTCTTATCGCCGCCACTGGCTGCGGCCTTCGAAGTGGCAACGTCATAGTAGTGTAGTAACAGCTGTTTTGTTTGGATTGGAGGCAGCCAATGGTATTTGGGTATTTCCAAAATAGGGAATAAGGTATTACCGTAGGTCTCATGGTAAGACCTGGACTCGGGACCGATTTACTTTTTCATTTTGAGGTCCCCAGAGGTCAAAACACCATCTGTCCAAATTCATGTGCGTGTGTGTGTCCGTTAGCACGATAACTCGAGCAAAAATGATCCGATTTTGATGAAATTCAGTATGAACCAGCATGATCGACCATGGGAACGGGGGTTTATGGGGGGTTTTATAGGGTAAAAATGGGGTTTTCCCATTTTGGTCCCAAAAAAACAAAACATTTTGAAATTTCTTTCTAAACCAATTCGTAGAGCTTAAAAAAAGAAATAATTTAGTCTATTGAAGCGTTGTTGTATGCCTAACAGTCACGGAGAAAAATAGAAAAAAGTGTAATTTAAAGTTCCCATGTTATTCTTATGGAGAAAATGAAAACTGTTGTAGTTTACTTGTTTATGTACATATATCGATAAAATGTTGCAAATTTATTTATTTCATACTGTAATATTTCATTTCATTCATTCATTATTTAACAACAATCACTACTCATAACTTCTTAGAGAGGTTATTTTTTCGTATATTGTCATTGCCACTGAAAGTAATGCATCGACTTTGTATAATCAACTGGTTTCATGTAGTTAGTGTTTGTAAAAATGTGTTAAATAATACGATACTTTTTCAGGGAATAGGTTCTGCTAGCAGCATTCTTACCAATAAATACTGTATCAGGTACAATTAGGGGAATATTGCATATTTGTTTTTGACAACTAAATAATAATATGAAACAGTTAATTTACAGTTAGATCTCATCATCCAATATGTGGTCCAGAACAACTTGCGTGAAAAAGTGGTTAAGATGTTTTCAAAATAAACCAGAAAAACATTTTCATTTAACAATTTAACCTTATTTTGTTTCGTCCATTTAATGAATTGCTGGTATGTAATTTCATACCTTTGTTTCGATTTTGGTGACAAAAGATTAGCACAAACAGGCTTTTGAAGTCCGGTTTGTGGCATTGTTTTCAGTTGAAGTAGACCTTTAAAATGATGTACAACTCAACATAGGCTGTCATTAAAGATTTTCTTCTGACCCCCGACGGGCCGTCCCCCAAAGGTGATATCCGACCACCATGTACACAGAAAAGTAGCTTACAATTTCCAGTAACGTTATACCAATTGTGGTTGTGATATCGTTTGTCGTTTAAAAGTTATAAAGTCGTCCTAAGACTTAATGGTCACCCTGTATATAAGAATTTGAACGGAGTGTGTTTTTGGCCTCTGGGGACCTCAAAACGAAAAAGTAAATCGGCCCCGGGTCTAGGTCTTACCATGAGCCCTACGGTAATAGCTTATTCCCTATATGGGAAATTCGCTAAAAAAGAAAACACCTGGAGATACATACCAAATTTCATCAAAATCAGACCACAGGAATCTGTAGCTCTGTACCCATCCACACAAACAGACATCACTTTGAAAACCACTTTTTTAATTTCATGTTGAGGGGGACTCAAAACGGATATAACCACCCAGAACTCAAACTCGAAAATGTAGACGAAAACAATGCTTTATCCATGAATGGTAAATGCATGGGAGAGAAAGGGAAAAAACTGGTAGGCCTAAAAGACTTCACTCTGGCTTGAAATAACTGTTACTTTATTGGATTTGGAAACAATCAATAAAAAATGAGATTACCCTTACTAATAACAATTTATAGATTAAATAAAGACAATATTTTATCAGGACGATTAAAATTGTTGATTTTTTCAGTAACAATTGGCAGACTAGAAGTATTCAGGGACCAAGTTGAGTGTGTAGGGTTTATCTAAACAGGGAAAGACGCGACCGGTTGTTTGACAGGCGTCCATCTTTATTCAGCGCCGCCTGGATGTCTGCTAGTGCAGGCAACTTCTCTACCTTCCCTCTCGCTGCTACAGCTGGCTGTGATCGTAACATCCGTTGAGCCACTCTACTGATGTCATCACTCGTTACATTTTCTGTAAATACAATATATTGTGTTGAATTATATGAGATAGATTAAAGAAGAATTACTGTAACAGCCATCGTAAATCAATGTTTATTGTAACTGTAGAGGAGTAAAAATTACTTTGAAGGATTGAAGACCGATACAAAGTGAAAAATCACCTGAATCCAACTAAAGCTAAAGCTGGGTAACCATCACAGATAGTTTATCATTACATTTGAAAAATCCTAAATAAAGTCTTCTAGGTGGTTTGCTAGCCTAGGTGTCTCAAAATGTATTGGCTGAAAATTCGGAAGAAGTAATAGAGGAGCTAAAATTTCAGAAGGATGAAATAAACTGACTACCTATTACGAAATAGTACATGTTTTCTTCTTTCAGCCACACCTTGCATGCTGTGGTAAACCTTTTTTGTAACTGTGTCCCTAGCATAAACTAAACCCTACATTTTTGGGGGATTTGGTTGTATTATTTCATTTCGTAACAAACTGTACATGTGTATTTGGCAAAGCTTGAGTGATATGTAAAGTACAAGGAAACACCTTTCCAATTTTTTTCAGAATGATAATGACATAAAAAACTGAAAATACAAAAAATTTTCTCACATTGGAAGTAATTGAGGGTTAGAGGTTTTAGATCGGAGATTTCTGAATAGAGGGGGTTATGTTAATATGAATTCGAGGAATTTTTCCAACTTGGAAAATAATATAATACTGCACAAGATATTGCAAAGTATAACTAAAAATAAGTTTGTTTAAACCCAATAATGTTACATTGTATACACTCCTCTGGAAAATTTAAATCCTCTCAACTATGAGATATGTGCAGAAATGATCCAAACAGATTGTCAAATCATTGGTTTGGTCTTTGGGTTAAGATCGCTTCATTGGACCAGTGAGACTAGATGCCAACGTTTCAGAAGTATTACAGCCGAAGATGAATAGCTGTAACACATCCAAAATGTTGGACACTAGTCTCACTAAATCAAAGACACAGTCATAACCCAAAGACCTAGATTCGACAATCCGCTGTGACCGTGGAAGCCTGTCATCTATTATCAAGCAGACTTTCCGTCTACACAACAAATTCTTAGAGCCATTTATAAGGGTAAGACCAAACAATAAACGAATGTTAAAATTGAAGTGTAGGACTAGGGATTGCAATATAAAATAAAGTACCTATCAGCTCCATGAAGACCTCAGGCCTTTTCCTCTGTCCTGTCGCCAGCACTTGGCGAGCTATGTCCTCAAACACAACTGGCCTCGCCTCCAGGTTCATTAGCAACATCGACTGCAGCTGGGTCTTTGCTCTCTGGTCGCGTTAAATAAGAAATTCACTTTTTGTAATGGCCAATAAAATTAGGACATTTATCATCATGTAAATAGAGAAGAAAGCATCTAAGATCTAAGGCATATCTTGGATTTGTATTAAAACCTGTTATTTATTTTAGTAAAAACGAGTTACATTAAGGAGTTATGCAAACAATTTTTTCAAGCTGACACACTTGTAGTTTAGAAAGGAAAGTTAAAAAAATATAAGGAAAATATTATTAAAATTGTGTCTGCCTTCAGGTGAATTTAAAAATGAACTTCTCTTATAGTCTTCTATAAAATAATTTGAATTTGAATTAGTCTTAAGCTCGAGTCTAACCATATTATGAGTCGTGCAGACAGTTGAGATGTCCATAGAAAATTCGTTAACTACACAACATGCTAAACTCTTCATACTACATTGCAGATGATCTTACCCTGAGTTCTTTGTTTCCGGTAGGACCAGCCATTGCCACTACCTCCCGTGTAAGTACGTCGACCATGTCTCGTACGTGCGGCGGAGTTGCACTAGCATGTATACAGAATAGGCCGGTGTCCGCATATGCGTGGTTGTAGGCAGTCGCATTGTACATCCAGTGGTATCTGTCACATTTACAAACTCTTCTATACCTAACTTACCTAATGACATGTACCAAGACACTATGATTGGCAATATAATAGTGATCCCTTCCCACGATCGCTGTTAGTCTGATCCTTTAGGCCATTTGTCTGATTTAAAAGTCAGGACAGTCGTTAAAAAAAGGTAACACTTTGATAAATTGCACATCTAGCTTATCTAAATGACCTTGGTTTGCAATTTTTCTTTACAACAGGTTGTTCTTAAGTTTGGTTAAAACTAAGGCCCACTAAAAGCCAACAATAAACCAATTGACTTAATTTCATACAGATAAACATTTGTTATAGTTGTTAGATCGTTTATTGACCATTTTACCTTCATTTTGTTTGTTTAAAGAATCACACAAATCACAGGGGGCCACCCCAGTTGGTTGATAAATTACTTTGTGGTTAGTATACATGAACACCTTTTTAATTAAATAGATAGTAACAAAAGTCCTCTTTGTTGACAACTTATTTTATCGTTAGTTGCGTTGGTGGTCTTATAAAATTGAATTAATAAATACAAGAAACCCTTTTATCAACAAGAGAGTCGACCGTAATGTCACTTTGTCGACATGTGGAAATGGAGATGGGGATGGGCATTCTATGGCTGTGCGTGCATCTATGGAGTCTGCTGCAGTTGTACCAACTGTCGTACTGTTTGTTCCCCTGATTTTTAGTCACCATATTGCAGTGTACTCGCGAGGAGTGCTCATTTGACGTGCATTTCTCTTTATATATTCATTAAACAAAACTTTGAATATTTAATGGGCTATGAGCCTCAGCGGGCAGATAATTAGACCTTAAAACTGACAGCCCCATCATCCGCTCATTTTACTATCTCAGTGGCTCTAGCCAATATCCTATAATATTTAATTCAGCCAACCAAATACCACCAATTAACCAAAGGGGAGCCTGATCATCATAGAGATTATTACCAAATACATCCAGTATGAGACTTACCTATTTAGGACGTTGGTGTAGAGCCTAGTGTACATGCCCTTGCCTGGACCTCCTGCACTAAAGGATCCTCCACCACCCATCATCATGTTCAGCACACAGACAGGTATGAAATCTGGGTCTTGATGTGACACGCCCTCGAGTGCCACCACAACATGTGCCAGTTCTGGTAGCCCTGATGGCCCTGCGTACTGCGGCACCTCACATTCTTCCTACATAACAATGTTTTTTTTTTAATAAACACTAAAAAGTTATCTAGTAAAACACTGATATAATATAGGCTTTTTAGAGGGTAAATCCTTCTGACATAACCGAAGATCAGCACTGATTTGCTCTCTGAAGAAATACTAGTGAAATTTATTACTATCCGAGAAATCCATCTTTTATTGTGATTGGTCTAAAAGACCGTGACATCCTTCAAGTTGTGAGTATGTGTTGGCAATGATACTGGATTAAAAGTAGTTATGGATTTTCATCCCGAAAACAGGATTTTTAGACTATGCGTGGAACACCCATAGATCTCTTAGATAGATCACATAGATCTCCTTGGGGGATCCCTTATCCAGTTTTATAGCAATAAAACTGGATAAGGGATAAACCGGGATTTTCAGCGCAAAGGCCTGATTTTCTGACCAACCCCAATAATTAAATTATTCTATCACAGTTGTCTATATTACAGCAAGGTTTAAATAGGTTTTTTGAACATGTTAAATTGGAAATACCACTCAGCAATGAACTGAAAAATTCATGTGGGATACAATAGGATTTTCTCGACTTGATAAGCGAGATTCTTTCTTTTTGGAATGTGCAAAATACTGTTCTGCACATTACAAATGTACAACTGACCTTTGAAATGATGATGAATTGCCAACAACTATCAGGTAAGGATACCGCTTCCTTTACTGAAATTCAGAAACTAACCTGAACCAAACCACCAGTGTATTGAGCAGTGGAGTTGTCAACTTTTACGGGCTTTATTGATTTATTTTCCTCCCAGGTTGGTTTCCTTTCCACGAAATACCTAAAAATACAAGTGATACAATTTTAATTAAGCTACTTTATTTATTGTTTTACCATCAAGTGACTACTGTTGTCACAGGACTTCATGAGCGTTCCTGACAAATGTATACTCTGTACTGTATTTAGAAACTAATAATGGTATTCATGAATTTTTAAACCACAGAATATTAAGGCAATATTGGAATTATAAATTTAATCGGCCAAGCCAATTTTTTTAGAATCAAACCTTAAATGTAGGCATAATTAAATAAACCATAAAGATGAAACCTATATTTTTATTTAAGGCAATTAACAATTTGGAAACTGAATATTTAGGCCTAAAAGTTATTTAAGGTTTGAAAACTTTATGCTTAGATGTTTTTTTTTTTGATGGGATGGAGAAGTTTGGGGATTTTTGGACGGGTGGGTGGTCATCAAAGACAATCCGGCATTTCTTAACTGTGGGATTCCTATTCACTTAATACTTAAACTTTTCTAAATTACTTCAGGGTCTTTTTGAATCCCAGTTTGTTCTAAATGTACAGACCATTACAAAATTTGTAGTAGCCTACCTGCAGTACCTAGGCCTAAACTATCTGTTTCCCTACACTCACCTATTGACATGGTCAACCAGCATCTGATGGTCAACACCGACACCCGCCACCACCATACGAGACAGTGTGTGATGACTTTTTAGATAGGTCATCAGCACATTCGCATCTATCTTATCAAGGCTGCTCTCTGGGCAGATCTTCGGCAAACCCAGTGTGTTACTACGATACGCCGCCTGAAAAAATCATGTTGATATTTATAAATGTGTTAAATTCAACTGAAGAACGCTTGTAACTTTAAAATCCTGTTAAAAATTTGTCTGACAGCTTTTTATTGTCCTAGGATACGCTAGACACGAGCCCAGGATTGTTTTCCACATTACTTCAGGCTAGACCGCTAGACCTAAGGATTGCGGCATTATCACTTGGATAGTAAAATCTATTGATGAAATCTATTGGAGGGGTTTTAATCGATACCTAAGGGACCGAAGCCACTAGATAAGCTCGCTCCCCCGGTCTGACAGATTAGGAGGAAACATATAAAATAAGATAGGCTACATTGTCTTGTGATGTGTAATAGCCTATTTAGCATAAGTTTAAAACTGTAATTTCTGTCTACAACAGCTTTAAAATAGTTTTGATACAAAAAATCAACTGTGCTGTTTTTATCAATCTCTCAAATCAATAATGTGTTACAGTAGAACTCCGATTATCCGAATCAATAGGGACCAGACCCCATTCGGATAATCGGAGTTTTACCGGAATTCCGGGAATTTTAAAGAAAAATCCTCATTTCTAAGTGAACTTTTAATTAATAATAATTTAAATCAGAACATTTTTACAGTTTACAATGCTCATAGTACAAGTGTTCTATACATGTTATTAAGTCAATAGTGTTCCATCAAAGTCCAAAATTGGCTAAATGTGTTTAATAACAATTCTTTGATATTTTGCAAAACTTATTACTGTAGCTTTACGTTTTTAAAATTGTTGAAATAAGCGATTCGGATAATTGGAGATTTGGTTAAATGGAGTTCGGATAATTGGAGTTCTACTGTATAAGGTTAGTCACTATTTTTAAAACTTGCAAATTTTGTTTAGGAAATGTTCATAATTTATGTATTTACACATAAGACCCATAATAAAGGCTGAAAACAGTACTCACACCATGGATCATGTCCATTAATAGGGTTTCTTGCTCTGGTCTTGTCAGCAATGTATCCAGTTCAAATTTAATGGTCTGTCGAGCTATATCAATCTGAAACAAAGTTAGTCAATGTATTAACACTTAAATAATTTGACAAGCTGTATGTGTGGAAATGTATGTTGCATTTGTTTCTATGTAGAGTTTCTCTTCAAAATATAAAATATAACTAGCTGTAACCCGCGAGCTTTGCCCCGTTTAACTTCTTAATTTTCAAGATGATCTCGTTCGCATGGCTCAATCACGTCCTGGTTGAAGTTCATTCGCTACGCTCACTCACCTTTAGGTTGGAGCTCGTTCGCTGCGCTCACTTGCCTTCAGGTTAGCTCGTTCGCTACGCTCACTTGCCTTCAGGTTAGCTTCCTTCGCTGCGCTCACTTGCCTTCAGGTTAGCTCGTTCACTACGCTAACTCACCTCCAGGTTGAAGTTCGTTCGCTATGCTCACTCCACTCACCTTTTGGTTGCAAATTAGCTGTTGTCATAAATGTAAAAGAAATAATAGTGCTGCACCCTGTTGGTAATCCTTGTAACTTTAATGCTATTGAACATCATAGAACAGAACCAACTTGTTTAATTGAAACAGCTGTTAAGATTCATTAATTCCATTTCTCATAAGGTTAACATGGGAAACTCCAGAGCCACTGGGGCGGAGCCGTTTGGGCGGATCACGAAATTGATGGTGTATAAACCTATTCCGTGAAATTCTACACGTATGTACCAAGTTTCGTGGCAATCGGTTCAGCGGTGTCTGAGTTTATCACTGCCAAATATATATACAAACATCCTCTTTTATACTTATAGATAAGTGTTATGCAATTTTGTGAATTGAATGACATGCATATTATATTTTGTATCCTTAGACGTAGGTTTAATGACCAAATTCAATGAAGTTCTCTAGAAGGTTCAATGACAAAGCACAAAACCATACCTCTTCTAAACTAAGTTGAGGCCGAAAAACAACATCTCCAAGTATTCTGATGACAGCTTCCAGCCCCCTTACATCGGCTGAAGCTGCATATACAAATGTATCTCTGAAAAAGATAAAAAGAATAAACTTTAAGAAAGCAAGGAATTTTCTTTCCTAAATTGATCAATGAACAAGTAAGATAAAGTCTGTAACAATTTAATGTCAAATTACAAATGTTATTAGTAGATCATGCAAGAGAGTAGCTTATTTCTAGAAATAAGCTTTTAACTAAAATTTTACTTTTTAATTAAATTGATAATCATTCCAAATTGTTCTTATCATTCCACTTATTAAACTTTTCACTGCAAGTTAAGGTTGGATAATCATGTTAATGTAGTCTACCTATTGCTAAATTTTCTACTTAAGTTATTACAAGAAGTTTTTTGGGGTAGTAGTTCAGCTTACCTTGAAGACTGGCAGTCACAAATTCCTCCATGCTTTTCCAATGCCTGCATTATGTGGTCTTTGTTTTTAAATTCTTCAGTGGACTACAAAAATATGAAAAATTTAATATTAGGATCAAGCATTTGTAAATGCTGAAAACTTTATGTAAGTTAGCCTAAAAAGCATGATTGTTTTAAGACTAGTGTAGGTATGTAGGCAAAGGTTTAGTTCTCCAAGTTTGTATTGTGATTTTGCTTGCAGGATACACGCACGGACTGAAGTGGACTAAGCAAATGTTACAATTAAATATTCACAATAGCTACTGTAGTGTCAAACAGGCTGGGTAGCTGAATAGATAGTGCTCTACGAACGAGCGAAAGGTTGCCGGATCCATCCCGAGAAAGAAAATAGCTTTTTAATGCCCGGGTTCAAATCTAGACCCAGCTGTTTACCCTATCATTGGACTTAAAATAAATGGCTAATGAAACAGATGATCTAAGACAGTAACAAAGCTACCAAGATCATCTCAATTCATTCCGAGACACTCATTCATCACTTACACAGGTTAAAATAGCACCTAGGTGGCGTCCCCATCTCGACTGATGATGATAACGATACCGGTAGCCTAAACCAATTCAATTAAGAAAACTATAAATAACCCATAGTTTTGGGAAATGCCTTATGCCTTAAGACAAATAAGTTGGGCTAGGTGTTTTTGAATGCTCTGCCAAGTGAATTAAGTCTACTGCATGTTTTAATTTTTATATCAACTTTCATGATAGCATAAATTACTTACATTAAAAGCCAATTTTTCCAAGAAGTGTGATATTCCACTAGGAAAAGCCACTTCATATCGGGAACCTGAATCTATAACCACTGCAAACATAAAAGCATAAATCACATTTCTTGTCAATAAGTATTTGGTTCTCAAGAAAACTTGTTTAAAACTGATCAAAGTAGGTTTTAGGCTACAATTATTTACCTCCTACTGTGCAGAATTGTCCGAATCTGTTTTCCGAGGCAACTCTAAGGCCAGAGGGCAAGGTAGTTATTTGTGTGGTCTGGTTGTCCTCTTTAGCGGAAGCATATTTTGCCAAAGGCAGGTTGGGTAGCGGTTTATTGAGGGTAACCTGCTGGAAAGCATGATTGTTTCCCACCGGAGGTCCACCAGACTGATGTGTGCTAGATGAAAAGTTGCAGCCTTCCCACTTGTGGTTAGTATTTCTGTAAAAGAAAAAGAAAAATGTCTAAGTAAGCCAACTATCTGTTAAAAATACTAAGATTAACACGTTCGCGGCGGCATGGGAGCGTTCGCTCCCATACGGAACCCTAATGCCATCCTGGTGGGTGCGATCGCTCCCAAGCTGCAGAGCAGCTACGAAATGATTTATTTTTAAGCCAGGATTAGAGCTAGAAACTTGAAACCTCGCACAGCACTGCTCAATAGTATACTGTATTTTGTTGTGGTGTAGGTTGATAGTAAATTTCCCCGTAAAATCCCCATCTGGCAATCTCAAAATCAACTTTTTGTCCCGTCTTTATCCCTCCATTTGGCAATATAATTCCAATGGGACCGGCTACATTCCAAGCAGTACTGCTATCTGTGGGTGTTTAGCGAACTACGTTGACTTTCGTTGTAAAGCAGGACATCCTCGCACGTTATTTGCTATTTGTCAGACCGAAATTGGAAAGCCAATCACACGCTGCAATCGGGTTTGTTTGACGCTGAGGGCTGCGCCGCACTGGGGATACGCCCGCCATTTGACGTGCCGCCGCGAACGTGTTAATTAACTTAATTTAATCCTACTGGTGTGGATCATTCTTATTCTTAAGTTATTCTTCATCAAAGCTTCTAACAAACATAGGCTACAAATTGAGCTCTAGCAGTGCTGCATATTCGTAGTTGACCAGCCGAACAACTGAGACCAGAGTAACTTAAGGCTTTTAGGCTACTCTCGTGTTAATAGGCCTACATAGAATGATGTTATCTCCATTGTCTTATTCAGAGTAGGTTATTTTACTAAAACTGTAGGCCTACAAGATCAAATCTGCTCCCTGATCTGCCTGCAGCTAGTCTGTAACTTCTGTAACTTAGAACTAGGTTAGATTTGAGATTTAAATAGGCCTATTGATTTAAATTAAGTTAAGTTATGGTTTGGTAGACAAACTTTTGAAATCCTAAAATAAATCTCAATAAATATGTATATTCTACCTTCCAAGTTTTAGTAGCTTATGTATTGGACGACATGCTTTACCAGCCATTATTCAATAAATCTTGATGATAGGCTACCACAAAAAACACACGAATTCTAACCTCTTCTGGGTTAGGCCCCTATTGTATATTCAAAAGTTGATTATGTTGACGAATATGTATAAACAAAACTACCAGTAACAATGAGAGGCAAACATGTGAAAAATAAATGAATCCTCGATAAAGTCGAATTGATTTTAAAATACTTCAACTTCCAAACAATTATTGTGACATATTATATTCCCGACTTCCCGACCCGACTTCAATTTCGACTTCACTTCACTTCACTTCTTCACTACTTTCTACTACAGCCTACAGCAGGAGCAGACAGCTACTTCAACTTTTACTTCAGGCGGCCGTGCCCAAACCCATCCAAATCCACTATCGAATAACAACCCGCATCTGGGTCCAGTTTACGCAAGGCTCACGGGACGCAAAGTTCTATTGGCTCTCATAGCATGACGTAAGTCTCATCTCTTTTGATTGAACCATCGACGTCTACCGGTCGCGTTCCGCGCAGGCTCACGTAATGCAGTCATGACGTCATGTTGATGGTCCGTAGCAATTTACTCTATTAATTTTGTCTATGTCCATAGATACTTGACGTCATACTCTATCATAAAATTAATGTTATAATTTTATTTATAAAAACTGTCATAGCCTAACCAAACTTGCTGATAAATAAAATATCCCGCCGCAGCAAACCTACAGACTACTTTTTTTTAGTAAGCGAATTTCAACTTGTCTGATTACATTTTTACTAAAATATTTCCATAAATAAAACATATTTATTTCCTAATTAAATAACATTATATTTAACGAGTGCTTTAGGTTTGCTGCTACGGGGAAGGTAAAAAGTGTTTTTGACCATACGTCAACAGTATAGGATGAAATAAATAAATTTGCCAAATTTTATCAATATATCTCCATAAACAAGTAAACTACAATAATTTTAATTTTCTCCATAAGAATAACATGGGAACTTTAAATTACACTATTTTTGAATTTTCTCCGTGACCGTTAGGCACACAACAGCGCTTCAATATACTAAATTATTTATTTTTTAAGCTCTACAAAACGGTTTAAAAACAAATTGCAATTTTTTTTGTAAAAAACCCCTCATAAACTCCCGTTCCCATGGCCCGATTATGCTGGATCGCTAACTCGTTCGAATAAACGTGTTTACACGTTTCTACCAAATTTCATCAAAATTGGATCAATTTTGCTCGAGTTATCTCGCTAACGGACACACATATATATTAATATATATATGAATTTGAACGGATGGTGTTTTTGGCCTATGGGGCCTCAAAATGAAAAATTAAATCGGTCCCGGGTCCAGAGGTCTTACCATGAGGACTACGGTAGGTAGCTACTTCCCTATAGGGAAATTCGCTAAAATCGAATTAAGGTAATTACTAATCGAAAAAATAGTTCAATTCATAAAATAAAATAATTGTAAATGCCACAAATTCAATTTTATAATTAAAATTAAACTGTCATAACCTAACCAATCTACTAGCTTGTTGTCAGAGATTTAGCTTAGAATGCGATTACTTCTTGACTGTTCATCTTTTGTTAGAGTTTGAGGCATTTATAATTTGATTTTACGAACAGAACTATTTTTTCATTCGATTTTTTTATCATCAGCAAGTTTGGTTAAGTTATGACAGTTAAATTTTATAATTAAAAGATTATGAAATTGAATTTGAGGTATTTAATTTTATTTTATGAACAACTATTTTTTAGATTAGTAAACCTTCATTCGATTTTTTTCATTATCAGCAAGTTTGGTTAGGTTAATTTTATAATAAAAAAGTTATAAAATTAATTTTATAATTAAGTAAAACGTATGACGTCATGGATCTACGGACTATCAAAATGGCTCCCGTGACCCTTGAGCCTGTCCGGAATGTGCCCCAAGTCGAAGTCGAAGTCCTACTCTAACTCTACTCTTTCCTAACCTAACCTCTAATGCTATGCTATGCTATTGCTATTGCTATTCTTACTTAAAATAAAATAAAATTAAATTAATGCTATTGCTAAACCAAAACAATAAAGAAGTAATGTTTTATCTTAATTAATTGTAGTATTATAACCTAATGTTCTTGTTTTTAATTCTGTTTGCATCGACGTTTCCTAAAGTAAGTTACTTCACTTGATTATGTTTACTGTACCTTGAAAATATTTTAAGATAAGTTAGTGTAGCCTAGGCTATATCTTGAAATATGCCTACTAAAATTAGATCGTACCAAATAATGCATGGGGGAGTTTGTGAGTTTGCAGCCAAATCACTTCCAATCAACCCTCTAGTTAAAAATTTCACTAAAGAAGTTTCAGGCTTAAAAACTCTTAATAGATCAGGGGCAAAAAACCAGGTCTTCAGATAGGCTCGTCAGCCAAATTCAGCCTGGTTAGACCATAGGCCTTTACTAACTGTTTGTCATTTGAGAGCTCTGTTATTGTTTCGGCTTTGTCAGACCACCATGCTCAGCAGGCTGTTCTTATACCATCTAATAGCTAGGCTATCTCATCTGACCGCCCCCCAAAATAACACATTTTGCCTGATCATTTAACCTAATTCTAACAAAAAAATGACTGAAATTGAAGCCTTCTAATAATGATCAGTTCAAGTATTTTTTTGACATTGCTTTCCCCAAAGAAAAACTATTCACACTAATAAAACAATAGGTTCTGCGGTCATCTATTCGTCTATTTCATTTAAGTTAACTTGCTCTTCCTCTACATAACCTAAGAGATACATTGACATTGACACCCTGATCAGCCTTAATAGGTCAAAAGAGGCAAATTGAATTCTAATCAGTGGTTGGGAATCGAAGGCTAATAAAGAGAAAGAGTTTGAAGAGATCTACAGGGAAAACAGTCAATTTTTGTGTTATTTCATCATTTTTTTAAAACTGCAAGTGTATGTAAGTACAAAATCTGCTCATGTAAAATAATCTACAGTTGTTTTCAAGGTTATTGGTCGCTGTGACAAAATTGACCAATGCAAGCCGGATCAACTACCCGAGCCGCGACGGACAATTCCTATTACCTAGCTGATTTTCCAATTGATTTGATTTTATGATTTTGATGACCGAGTAACTTTTTTGGTTTGACCCTCCGTCGGTTACACCACAGAGTTTTCCTCCGGGCGCATTTGTTTTTACAGAAGAATATGTGATATCACCATCCGGCAGCTTTAGGAGTAACAGTACCTCACGTGCATCTTTATAGGAACCGATTGAACATATTTTGATCTCTCACCTCCCCCACAAACCCTATTACAACAGTTGAAGCCTGAATCATTGCGTAGGACGGAGCCTGGATGCGTGGTCACTGATGGTGTTGATATTTTTGTTTGCTAGGCTATATATTCTTAAATATTTATGTAAAGTAAGAGTTTTTGTTGATTTCTTGTACAATTTTATTGATTATACATTATACTTATTTATAGTTTTTCTATTAGGCCTAATATGTACCGTACCTATAAAAAAATTGTTTTTCTAATGTTGTCACCGATCGTGTTTTAAAATCAAAGAAACTGACAAAGGGTTAACAGGGTATAGTTAAAAGGTGTTTGAAGGTACATTGGCAAGATACCGAGCAATAGCAGTAAGTACAGAAAAAAACCAATTGGCCTAACATTCTTGCCGACTGATGTGGAAGGCTCCTTAGGATTAAATTTGTGACATAAATTTACATGAAACTCTAGAAACACATAACCAACTCGTACTAATTACTTCTAGGCCTACCTGGTTTAATTTTCCTTTCTCCATAGTCTCACCTCCTTTCAGATCAGAATATACCGGATACACCCCTGGCCGAGAACATTTCTTATACCTTAGTTGACAGCTCATCAACTTCTTCATTCTCTAATTTTATTCTGTGAATAGGAACACATAGCCTCTACTATTTAGCAAGCACTGCCCCACCAATCAAACATGCACCTTTTACCCTACCGGTAATTAACAGGGACTTCTGGTTATGAATCATCCTGAAAGCAGTTGTTTTAAGGCAAGCAGGGAGATTACCTGCAACATTAACTAACCAAAGTAAACAAATAGCTTGATAATGAGGCAGTGCTTAGTAACGTACAATAACAATCCGTTAAAGATGCTACTTGAGATAAAGTTATCAATGCACTCTTAGCAGTTAAGCTGTTGTTGTGATTGCTTCAGACCAATATAGCCTACAATCACTAAGGCCTACTGTGTTTGCTCCTTACTAGTACTGTAATTATTAATTCTGTTCAAAATAATGGTGTGTTGTAGGCTAATTGGCTTTTATCTAGTTATTTTAGTCTTGCCTTTAGTCTTAGTATTTCTCACCTACTTCAAATTGTGTAACTCTTGAATTATGTTGCTCTCAGCATGCCCATAAACTATGACGAGTTGTTGGCTGCTGTGGCCACAGTTTGCCAAGAGCGAGGGATCACAGTCACTGTGAAGGAGTCACTCAAAGGCGGGGCCATTGCTGGCGGAGGTGCAGGTTTAGGAGGTGTTTTAATGGGGCCAGTGGGATTGGCCATTGGTATGTCTTGTTTCTTGTTTTTCTTACCACTTTTTAATGATTCTTATAAGCAAACTGCTAATACTTTGGGGTTGTCATTGATATTGACTTGTTAAATCTGACATAATATAATGTGTTGGCTTACTTTAAAATGAGAATAACAAAGTGATAATTCGGATCACCAACTAACCAGTTCACCTCAAAGAAAACAAAGTACGGTAGAACAAAGTCGGCCAGAAAATTTAAGTCCATTGTTGGTTTTTACAGTTTAGAATAATCCGTTTCAAACTTTAATGTGAACAATATAAGTAATATACCACTGTGTTATGCTGTGTTTTATATTAGTTCTGTAATGTCAGAATTAAATTATAATTAAAAGTACTTTTTGATATTTTACATTACTTTTTTCTTGAAAAATTAATATTATACTATCCACATTGGTTACGATCCGGATGGGGTACTTTCTCAATTGATCACAATAATTGGATTTCTAATCTATTATAAATTTTTGTATCACATCAAACTTTAATGTGAACAATATAAGTAATATACCACTGTGTTATGCTGTGTTTTATATTAGTTCTGTAATGTCAGAATTAAATTATAACTAAAAGTACTTTTTGATATTTTACATTACTTTTTTCTTGAAAAATTAATATTATACTATCCACATTGGTTACGATCCGGATGGGGTACTTTCTCAATTGATCACAATAATTGGATTTCTAATCTATTATAAATTTTTGTATCACATCCCGCTCAAAATATAACAAACCTCAACATCAAAAATGTTCTTTGTTAATCTATCTTCTATCAAGCTAATAAGGATCACAAACTTTTGAGAAAACGAATAAACGAATAAAACCTCTCCTAAGGGCTCATATTTTAATTTATGGGTTGTTTTTTATCAAATTTAAAATATGAAATATAAGTCAGCTGTTCCGTTTGCTTTGATTTATTACTATGTTTGGTTTTGACTGTCATAATAGTTTTATTAAAATAAGCAATAAGCACAATTGACATTTTCCTGTAGAATTCATGGTAAGTGTGTAATTTTTTTTATTGTTGGTTTATATTGACCCATAGTGATTATTTCTAAAGTAGGCCTACCCTTGCCCCGTTACAAAGCACGAGCAGATCAACTAGTTGACATAAATTGAAATTAATCTGATACACTCAGCCTTATTACAGAGAACCATTCACTCCAGACCTTGCTAAATTATTAAGACTGTTTTATTTTTCAGGTGGGATTTTTGGAAGCTTGACAGCTTTTTTTCTAGCGCAAGGTAAATTCAGATCTATTGCTCAAGTTATTCAAGAAGACATGACTCCTCAACAGAGAGAAGAGATGGCAGGGCGAGTGGTCCGAGCCCTGGAAGGTTTCGACCTTACGGATCTAACCATCTTCCTTCCCTTATTCATGGGCAATCAAAATGCTCAAATGGCGGCCATCACAGCTGTTGTAAGATATTTGGAGAGAGAAATGAGAATGCAAATAACTAATTGTTAACCAATCACATATCCTTTTGATCATTAGAGCTTATTTTTTTATTTTGTTATTTTATTAACTTATTTCAGTAGGATATTTTGAATACCCCGGTGATAAAATTGATGGTCAAAAATGTTTTTTAGTTATCATCAAGAATAATGTTTATGTTTGAGTTATGAGGGTCCTATCTGTAAAACATTATTTGTTAATCAAATCGAATTAAAAGTTTCAAACTAGTTGGTTAGTTATGATACAAATTGGGAATTATTTTGATTTTTAAAAGCAATAAATGCTGTACAATTAATGTTATTTTAAGTTTTGTTTTTCCTTTGTATTGTCAGCCACATGTACCTAGTATTAAAAATGGGACAATTGAAGTTAAAAATATTAAATAGGCCTAGCTATGCAAAATCTTTATCTACCTGAATTCTAAACAATAAACTATGGTTCTATTTAATCTTAGTAAGAATAATTTCAACCACTCGCACAATAAAATGACAGTAGAACCCCTCACATCCGTCCTCAAAATATCCGACTCCTCGGGATATCTTACCTAGTGTCCAACCGTCTACTTGTTGGAGGTCTAGGGTGATAATGTCGAGCAGATGATATCCACTGTCGTCGATAACGAGTGTTGCTGCCGTCACGGGAGACGATTACTAAAGTCGTGGAGACTGCAGGTTATGCTCCCCCCGATATCCGACCTTTTGGCCATTCCAAGCATGGCCCGGTCACATAATGGTTGGATATGAGGGGTTCTACTACTGTACTTTGAAGATAAATAAAAGTTATACACAAGTCTTAAAAGTGCAAACACTTGATTTTGAGTGTCATTGTCCATTATTTCATGTTTCAACCTAGTGGTTTCACTTTTTTCTAGATTGATAACTGACAATTAACTGTGCACGGAGTTGTAAGGGGTTACCAGTTCCAATAGTTAAAAAAATTAAATATTTATGCTTTAGAATATGGGTAGCTTTTATAGCCACTCAAAAAGATATACGTGCCTTATGACAACTAACAATAGCTGTGGACTATTATGTTGTGAATTATTTTGGGTGCTACTAACTATTTTTAAATGTAGTTTTAATTTAAGTAGTATGATGCCATCTGTGTGTGGCAAACTAGGTTTTCTTGATTTTGTTGTACTCACTGGACTGTTTTTAAAAGACTATTTATGCACCTTAGGTATATTTCATAGTTTACTCTAACCATCATTTTTATATTTGTGATTTTTATTTTTAAAGCACTTTGCAATGTTGAAATTGATGTTCTTTTTGGAATATTGTGAGGACTTGGGTGATATGTTGTTGGAAAAAATGTGTGCTTAGTCTTTCTCTGTAATAATACATTTATAAAAGAACTCTTGGCCATCTGTGATTGATCTATTCATTGTATCTCCGTTTCTCTTGCCACCTTATACACCTTTTTATCAGTAACATAACTCTTTTTCTTAATTATTTAATTTTACTGTAAATAAAAAAAAATCTACTTTGATTCTAATTCTAAAATGTATGTAGCCTTCAGTGTACATTTCACTAAGTACATGTAATTTGCACATTGGGTTGTATATTTGGGTCAGTCACTTACAGAATTGTTAGCAGTTTACGTTTTGTAGAAATCGTAACTGAATTACTCCTTTGGTAGCTATTCCATAGTAAACATTGCAAACCATAGGTATAGGTAATAATGGATGGATTTTTAGCATGTTGCATACTTATCACGAATTTCTCTCTTTTTCACGAATTTCTCTCTTTTTATGTATATTTTGTGCCAATATTATAGTTTCCCTACCATGTAGTTATTATGTTATATTTGTTGATCTTTTATACCCAAGATGAGGGTTTTATTTTATTGATGTTAAAACTCATACAAATGTTTTAATTTACCGTTTACTACGTCCATGACTGAAAGGGTTAAAGGAAAGAAGAAATGTAAAGTTTAGTTAGTTTTTCAGAGATTTTTTTTACTGCACTCATATTTTATGGGCAATATTTAAAATAAAGAATATTATTTATATTTATACATTTAATGTTTCTTTTCTTTTGTCTTCCTTTTTACCAACATTCCTTTTATTTTTTTGATGAGAGATAACTAAATATTTACCATCAAAGTCTGTTGTAATTTATTTCAGTTTATAAAATGTGTCTTAAAGGATGCTCGGTATAAATTGAAATTTTAAATAATATTAATTTGCTGTACTGAATGCGCTTTTCTTGCATTTACTCCAATAATTTCCTAACTTATCTGTACTTTGTACATGCAATTTAGTATTTATAGGCAATGCTTGAGATCCACTTTTTGTATTTGAAATGTGTCATGACTTATTAATGCAGACAACTAAGCAAGCCTATTATGATAAATAAAAAAAAACAGGAAATATAAACCAAAATTGTTTTAGGAAAGTTAATTTAATTAAAGTTAAAATAGGATAAAGATAAAAAGTCCATCTAATATTTTCTTCTTTTCAAAATTTCTGGACGCCAGTGGATTGGGTGACTTTCTTCAGTCTAAAAAATAATGCAACAGATTAAAATATTGATAATAAGACGGACAAAAAAATAGTTAATGATTATATTTTAAGTTGCTGATATTTTAAGTTAAAAATTAACTAATTAAGGGAAAAATTCCCTTAGTTCATTCAACTTTACTGATGTATTTGATTTTGGTTAAAATAAGTAATAAATTCAACTTTTGTCACACTGCAGCAAAACCAATTGTTTTCAATAGACTACTTTTAGGTATGACGTTGGCGTACAACAAATAATCAATCAAGTTTACATCAGAGATACATTTTTCTTTCTAGGCCTAATTGAGTAGGCCTATTTATTAACTATTATAGTTCATTGTTGCCAGCCGGACTGTGATTTGTTTATCAAAACAATCGTAACCGACTAAAGAGTTAACTATCTTCAACAGCTAGTTGTTTGTAATAGTAAAATAAGATTAAATTAATTTTGGGAGATAAATCCCAATTCAATTTTTAAAAGTTATAGACAAAATAACAAAATAATAAATAAATAATAAATAAGTATATTGTCAATTTTCTGAGCCTACTCAACAGATTTTAATTCCTTAACCAAGCAGAATAGTTGTATATAAATCTTGAATAGTATATAAATCCGGTCTCCAGACGAGGGACGAGATACAACAAAGAACTTAAGAAACTCGATACTTACAGCAGAGTCGTCCTCTTTGTATATTTTAATGGTTTTGTCAGCCTCTGTAGTTATCAGACGACTGCCACTCTGGTCGAATGTCATGGAAAATATTCCTGACTCACTGTCCATTGAACCTGGCTGTACTGGAGCCTGGAGAGAAAAATAAGATTGTAATCAAGCATTCAAATTCCAAACAGTAGGTTGAAATGTGTTAAGCCATTAAGCGCTGCAGACAAACTTTCCTTGAGTTTTAACACACAGTCCCTTCATAATGTCGAATTTATGTACGAAAACAGATATTTGCAATTGATGAAACTATGTTTACCAATAAAATAAGAGGTGTACAAGGTAAAGTATATTTATATATCAGTTAAGTCGAGTTCACAAAAAAATTTCAGGCTTCAAGCTTTATTGAGTCAAGTTTTTTTATAAAATAAAGTAAATACATTTTACTGTTTCGCTAGCTTAGTTTAAATACCGTACTAATGCCTGATTCTTTACACGTACAGACACTGTACGATTTGTGCTTCTCTTTTAAATGCATCTACACTCAAACTATGGAAGTTTTGCTTTTAGCAAATTTCCCATTTAGGTAATAACCTTTTACCGTAGAGAAACACTGATGTACTGATTTACATTGAATCCCCTAATTTTTTTTTAAATAGTCAATGGGTAGCACACATTGTGAGTGGCCACTATGTTCTAATTTGAATGAAAATTGGCTACATCTGATCGATATAGAAGGGACATCTACTTCAGTATGCCATAGTCAATGGTATCATCCATTATAAGTCTGACCTGGAGCCTCTGGAAGTTGTAGCCGGTACGCCAGTCCCAGCAGTAGAGAGTCCCGTTGTCAGCTCCGGACACCAGTACTCCCTCAGGATTGACAGCCAGACAGTTGACGATGGCATTGTGTCCAGACAGGTTCTGGATGAAGCTTCCCTCTGGACACTTCCACTGTTTGATGTTGTCCGGACTGGCTGACGCAAACATGTACCTGACAAGCATCATACGTTATCAATTATCATTCTTTACCTTTTCAGGAGGCATGATCTACTTTTTAATTCGAAAGATTATTAGGTTTATTATTGACTATACATCTTCTAGACAGCCAGCTATATGGAACAATATGTAAACAAAAAACGCACAGCGTAGTCTAGTTCTCAAATTTTTAGGGTGGCTCACCCTCTGTAGATCAAAAATTTAAATATTAGAACTTAAAAAAAATGTAAAATTAAATTCTAGGACAATATTTTTAATACTTTAATGTTACGGAAAGTAAATAAAAGAGACGTCTTATAACACTTAAAACATATTTACGCTTATACTGTTACTCACAAGACGGTAAATATGTAAAGATAGAATAAAACGAATTCTTCTAAGAACTTTTATTCAACATTCAACTAACTTAACAACTCACTTCCAAAACAAGTCAACAACATAGTAACCCCTGGTAACCATAGTCATATGAGTAAACATACAAATAATTACTAAATCACATGTCATTCCATTACATCCTCTCTCCCATGATAAAATGTTAAAACTGATACCGCAATGTAGGTTTAACTTCTCTTCCGGTCCTAGTGAAATACCGTCCATTAACTTTTCTGCCTCTTTCCCATTCCACTCTGTTTTCTTCTTTCTTTCCATTAGAAGTTTCTGTGTTTTCGCTCTCTTTTCCGTTGCTAAGGCTATCTTCTCTCTCTTGACAAATATTAGGAATTCCTTCATCCGGGTAACGATCCCATGAATCATACATGCTGATGTATGATTGTTTACATGTCGGGATAAGAAACCTCCTGTTTCTTCTTAAACAATTTCCATTAGCCTTCACTATGTATTCTCTATCATTGGAACCTCTATCTACTATAGTCCCGTACCGCTTCAAATCAGTTATCCATACATTAATCCCCTTTTCCAATATGTCGAGATTTCTAGCTCTGTGCCTACGATCATAGTAAATTTTTTTCTTTTGATTCTGTTTTTCTTGGTCATTTCGATACTGATCTAGATCAGGCCAACGAGGTTGAAGCTGCTCTGGAACTGACGGAAGAGTTGTGCGTATTTTCCGTCCAAAAATCAATTCTGCAGGTGATACTCCACATGCAAGAGGAGAAGAGCGATGTGCTAAAAGACCAAGATATGGATCTTTATTCCTCTTTAATATCCCTTTACATGTCTCAACCGCTCTCTCAGCTTGCCCATTAGACTGAGGGAAGTGAGGGCTTGAGGTCTCTATAGCGAAACCCAATTCTTTTGCAAACGCTCTCATATCTGAAGAGACTAAAGCAGTTCCATTATCAGACCTTACAACACGTGGAATCCCATGTCTGGAAAATATTGACAAATAAGCTTGTTTTATAGCAACCGTATTAATACTGGCTAATGACAACAATTCAATATATTTTGAAAAATAGTCTTGCATGCAAATATATACTTTTCGATTATACACGAATAAATCTGTCCCAACAACTTCCCAGGGTTGATTAGGAACCACAGACGTGATCAATGGTTCAGCAGGATTAACCCGATTCTCCAAGCAACTAGAGCAGTTCTCAACTATTCTCTTTATATCCACCGATAGTCCAGGCCACCAAACTGTGTCCCTTGAACGAGCCAGACACTTATTTACTCCTAGATGTCCACTATGTATCTGGGATAAAATCTCATTTCTTAAAGGTTTTGGAATAAATATCCTTAATCCTTTTAAAATCAGTCCATTAACAAAAGACAAATTCCCTCGTTCTCTGAAAAATTCTGTATTCTTTAAGTCCGTCCACTCACCTGATTCTATTGCTTTCCTCAACATGTTACATATAACATCTTCTTTCACACTTTGACGAATTATTTCTAATCTACTGTCTGAGCAAGGTAATGTAGACACAACTGAATTAACAAACACCTCAACATCTTCATCTAGTATATCACTTTCCGCAGTTGAAACAGTCTGCAATGGTGCCCTAGACAGTGCATCAGGAACAAAGAAGCTTTTTCCTGTTTCATATCTCATTTCATAATCAAAAGGCATGAGTCTCATTCTGAATCTCTGCAACCGAGGTGTCAGGTCACACAAAGACTTTTGTCCTAAAATTTGGATAAGGGGCTTGTGATCAGTAACCAGTTCAAATTTCTTTCCCAAAATGAAAAAACAGAATTTCTCACAAGCCCAAGTTAGGGAAAGAGCCTCCTTTTCAATTTGAGCATACCGAGATTCTGTGTTAGTCATAGTTCTTGATGCATATTGTATTGGCTTCCATTGACCATCCACATTTTGTTCCAAAATGGCTCCAAGTCCGAATTTCGATGCATCTGCACACACTCTAGTTTTCCTCTCAGGATTATACAAATGTAAAACGGGAGCCTGAATCAATGCCTCCTTTATCTGCTTGAACTGTTTCTCATGAAGATCGGACCAGTACCATTCATTTCTTTTTGAAAGGAGATCATTTAATGGCTTGGTCAGTTCTGAAAGGTTGGGAAGAAACTTCATTAAATAGTTTACCATTCCAAGAAAACGTTTCAACTCGGTTTGATTTTTTGGAACAGGATACTTCTCCACAGCCAAGGTCTTTTCTGAGTCTGGCATAAGCTGGCCATTTTCAATAAAATGTCCCAAGAAAGTTATCTTTGTCTTTTCAAACACGCACTTCTCCCGATTCAAAGTGATACCCGTTTCACATAGACGAGAGAGAACACAGTTAAGTCTTTTGTCGTGTTCTTCCTTCGTACTACCAAACACACATATGTCATCAGTTAGATTTACAACACCTTCTAAACCTTCCAAACATGCCTGATCCCAAAAGGTAATCGCTTGAAATAAAACCTACCAAAAGGCGTTATAAAGGTTGTCAACTTGGCACTTTCACTGTCAAGGCCTACTTGCCAGAAACCACTGTTCGTGTCAAGTTTAGAAAATATTTTTGCTCCTGCCATCTGAGCTAGGGTCTCATCCACAGATGGCAAAATTAGTCTTTCTCTCTCTACATATTTGTTGAGAGCTGTAAAATCAACACACAACCTTACTGAGAAGGACTTTTTAGGGACAACAACCAAGGGAGAGCACCACTCTGTTGGTTCTGTGACAGGTGCTATCACATCAGCTTTTACCATTTTATCAAGCTCAATCTTTACTTTATCCCTGAGCGATATAGGGATCCTTCGTGGCGTCTCAATAGAAACTGGGTTATAATCACTTTTTAATTTGATCGTATAGGGCTCAGTAAACCTTCCTAGACCTGAAAAAAGCTTTGGATATTTTGCTTCCCACTCGTTTCTTAAACTTACTTCACCAATGTCCTTAAGCAATGAAAATGCTAATATCCCTGTCCTCCCTAAGAGGGGCTCTTTCTGGCTGCTTAGAATGAACACTTCCTCCATATGATCTATACCATCTTTCTTTAAGCTCACAATTGACTTACCAATTACTTTAAGTGGTATACAATCAGGACCTTTCAACTTGATACTAGATTTTTCAATCTTAAGATTCAAAATCTGTGCATGTTGAATTCCAATACAGCTGACATCAGCACCAGTGTCAATTTTGAAGTTAAGATAATCAGTCTCATTAACCAAAAGTTTTACATAAAACGGCTGGGAGGAACTTATATTTGACACCCTTTCATCAATCGTAACAGAGCTCAGAGCAAATGGATTAACTTTGCTAGATGATGGTTCAGATTCAACCTCTTGAACTACTGAATTGAAACTTTTTCGTTTACATGCCCGACTAAAATGGCCCTTTAATCCGCATTTGAAACAAACTTTATCAACTGCCGGACACTTTTCCTTGGAATGAAACTGATTTGAACCACACCGACTACATTTCTGACTATTTTGATTAAATGCTGAGGCCTTACCAAACTGCTGTGCGTCGCTGGTTTTACCAAACCTTGATGAAAACGTCTTTCTTGTTTCCATGACTGATGTTTCGCTTATCTCTTCCGAGTTAGCAGCCTGTTGTTCCATCGCTTCTGCTTGCCTTGCTGCTTGAACTGCCCCAGTCAACGTTATCCCATCTTTTAATTGTAGGTGTTTGGATAAACTCTTATTAGACATCCCTGTAACAAGCTTAAGAAGTATCATTTCATCATTAAAATGTCTACTCTTACAATTGCTGCATGACCATTCACATTTCTCTGACATTTTATGTAAATCATTAATGTAAGAGTCAACCTTCTCGCCTGGACATTGGTCTTTCTGTAGAAACATAGCTCGATGGTAAAATATATTTTTCTTGGTAGAAAAATAATCATCAAAAGTTTTCACTACCACATCAAATGAAACCCTTTTTTCCTCAGACATTCCTAGTGACGTTAGGAGTTCCTCAGCTTCTTGGCCCATGCAGTACAATAACATGTTCACCTGCTGATCTTCAGATTTTAAAGCCAACCCAGTAGCTTTACGGAACATTCCAAATACCTTTATCCAGTTTGACCATGTTGCTGGATCTTGGAAGTTGAAAGGATCAGGAGGTTTGACTTGGTACATAGGTTCTTGCCTAGATTTAGCCTCTTCACTCATTTTAGTATTTAGAACAGAGTTTAATATATCTTTCAGTAATTCTGGTGTCAATTCCATTTTAAAATATTCTTCTTCAGTCTAAACGCTGCCACCATGTAAAGATAGAATAAAACGAATTCTTCTAAGAACTTTTATTCAACATTCAACTAACTTAACAACTCACTTCCAAAACAAGTCAACAACATAGTAACCCCTGGTAACCATAGTCATATGAGTAAACATACAAATAATTACTAAATCACATGTCATTCCATTACAATATACAAAAAAGATGGCAAGTGGTGATCGATTTCGATTGGACACTCCAATCATCATCAGACCCAATAGAAGAATCATTATAACTGAAAATAAAGTAAGAAAGGAATAATGTGTTTTGTAAGAAGATTGGCATTTCTTTGTGTCTTTGTACTCTTCCACTTCTACAAACACGTCTGTTATATTACAGCAAGGGTACTTACAGTGTGGGGTGGAAAACTACAGATCTGACACTCTTCTTGTGGTTGGTGAGAGTCGCAATACTCTTGCCTGCTGCCAGGTCCCACAGTCTGATGGTGCAATCATGGCTTCCTGTCACTACCTGCAGTTATACAAATACATCTACAGATCTTAACAACAAGTCTAATGTTGAAGGTGACATTAACAAAAAAACCAAGCAGAATTGCCAGACCAAAATATGCAAAGTCTGTTTGTCACAGAGGTACTAAGGTTCTACGAGCATTCAGGTCAGTACTCAACATTAGTCATAAAAGTTAAGCTAATAAATGTCAGTCTCAATAAATAATAAAATAATTCCAGCATTGTACTATCACCAAAGAACGTATAAAAAAAGCACACAAAGATAATTTTTTCACTAAGATTATTTTTGTTTTATGAACAACACTGCGTACATTTTCACTGTTGTTACACTGACCTGAGGTTCGGCAGCTTGACTGATGACACTAGCCACAGTGTTGGTGTGGCCGGTGAATGTGTGTACGTTAGCCTTGGTCCTCATATCCCACACTCTAGCTGTAGAGTCTCGCCCTGCAGTGATGAGCACATCTATCGTGGGGTGCAATGCCAGTGTGTACACTGCACTCAGGTGTCCGTGGTAATGTCTGATAACCTACGATAGAAACACATTGTAAACAGATGTTTTGGTTTAGTTTGTAAGACATTGTCTGTCAGCTGGGGCACAGAACATGCCAAAGCCAGGAGTGAGGTGACACACAGCACATAGCCTTGAATTTTTAGTCCGTCACACTAACAACTGCACTGGACCACTGACTTTAGGTTACCGATATCATCAAGTATTAGAATACAATCTTATGATTTTAAAAAAATATTTAACTCTGCAACTGGGATTTAATAGGGTAAATTAGTTTGTTATACCAATCTATTCAACAATGTACCTGTAGGCAAAAAAAAAAAGATGCTGAAACATTTGGGAGGGATTTGAAATGCTCTGGTGCAAAAAGATGTTTTAGTATAAAAATTAAAAAAGTTAACATTCAACACAGAATATCAAAGGTAAACAATTCTGGTTAATTTTCTCTATGAAATCCTCATTACAGAATCATTTTGTTAGTTTGCTGCTTGTTAAAGACACTTGTAGATCAACAACTCCTTTTCTGTAAATACCCCGCCACAGGAAATCTGCAGACTAAGCAAATGTCCATTTGGCTGAATTTATATACAATTAAATCTATTAAATCACATTAGGTTAAACGAGTACCTAGGTTTGCTGCTACAGGGAGGCTTATAAAGTGTTTTTTTTGTAAAATATTAACAGCTTAGTATAAAATAAATAAACTTTGCCAAGTTTGATGAAAATATATCCATAAACAGGCAAACTACAACATTTTACAATATTGTCCTTAAGAATAACATGGGAATTTTAAATTTACAATGTTTTGGATTTTCTCCGTAACCAATAACCGCACAAAAACACTTTGATATACCAAATTATTTGTTTTTTAAAGCTCTTTAAAATTGTCTAGAGAGAAATTGGGAAATCTTCTGTTTGGATGGTAAAAAAAGAGAAAAACAAATTTTTACCCCAATAAAACTCCCCCTAAAACCCTGTTCCCATCGTCTGATCGTGCTGGTTCACGAACTCATTCGAAAGTTTATCACACCTTACACCTTCAAAACTAAATCTCATCAAAATCGTACAAAAATTATACTCAAGTTATTGCGTTCACGGACACATGTATATCTATATAGATATTATATAAAAATTTGAATGAATAGTGTTTTTGGCCCCTGGGGACATCAAAATTCAAAAATAACGGTCCCAGGCTCAAGTCTTACCACGAGACCTACGGCAATAGCTACATCCCTATAGGGAAATTCGCTAAAAGGATTAATTTGTTACAAAACCTACTCATACTTATATTAGGCTATTTACAACCACACTGACTGACCTTATTGTACTCCAAGTCCCAACACTTGACCTGCCTGTCCTCCCCACAGCTGAATAGGTATGGGTGTCTGCTACTGACAGCCAAACCTCGCACACTGCTGATGTGACCTGTCAATGATACCTTCAGTCGACCACTACCAAGCTCCCAGATCTGCAAACAAACATTCAGCCTTTAGTGGTGTGAGAGGTACCGGTGAAGATATTAGGGAGTGACACATAATTCACCTCAATGTATAAACTGGCATTACATTAAACTTTGCTAAAAAAGCATATTGGTAAGCTAGGCATGACATTTCAAACGTATTAAGTAGTGTAGCATGTTATTGGGTCAACTTGTTATTAAAAAGGTACCTCTGTAAAATAAATGAAATCTGATTAAGTAAAATCGGATTAGCTTCACCAAAAATCATTAACCAGTTTGCTACAGCAGTATGTACTCAGCTTCTCATATCACTTCCAAAGCATATTTTATTTGTTGTGTTTTCAAACACCAATGGCGTTGAATGCGCTTTTTGTTTAATTTTCCTAGGCAAAAAACCATTAACAAGCCTGAAGAAGTTTTTAAAGAAAACCCACATCTTAACCTTTTTCTCCACTTGATAACTCTATTTTAAGGAGGATTAATGCTTTAACTTGTGTAAATTAAATCGGAAATATAGTCTTCAGCTATCAGAAATTTGTATAGGCAGTTTCAATAAAAGATTGATGCTTAACATTCCATAATTGACAAGTATAAGCTATAAGTTAGCTATTAGCAATAACTAACATATGGACTATAACCACCTCGCCCCCCCCTGCAAAAAAATAAAAAAATAAAAACCGAAGTGTTTTACAAATTCAACACATTTTGAGGAGATAGCTCATTAGTAAAAAAAGTTTCTGAATGAAGATGAACTGGAAGGTCCAGAACAAGATGGGGATACATGAGGGGGTTGGGGCTTTGAAAGAAGATAATGCTTTGAACTGAACTGGAGACAAAGAGACAGTGATGGTGAAGCTGAGTAGCCTATCTAATGTTTAAGGAAAGGATCAATGAGCTCCTCCTGCAAAACCCGTACTACTCCGTTGATGAGTATTTTGAGGAGCCACCAACTTTTGACCGCCCACCGCCATTTAACTAAAGCATAAGTTGTATACAGGGTCATCAACTCAAGGAGGCCATCATTGGGATATCGGAAATGGTAAGAAATAAAGAAAACTTTAAATGGGGGACATTCCTTTATTTTTTGTGGCAATTAAAAATATGAATTTAGTTTTTTGAAATTCAGCTGCCATTTTTCAATATAGCGGCCAACTTTGAAATTTCTTATTTTTTCATGTTTCCGGATAGAACACATGCAATTAAAAAACTTTTTTATTCTTGACATTTTTTTCATAAGCCCACTCGTTTAGGAGTTACAGCTTACGAAAAAAATACTTCTGGTGTACATTTTGCATCATGTAGCTCCTAAACGAGTAGTTAATAGCGAAAATGCGAAGAGTAAATAAGTCTTAAAATTGCATCTACATTCCAAAAAGACCATTAAAATACACAGTTTACCACTTTTCAAGTTTGCTGCCATTTTGGAAAACGGCCGCCATTTTTGAAATAATAGATCAATATTTTTTACATAATTTGTGGTCTTTTTGGAATGTAGATGTTAACGCCTGTAATTTCAGTAGGGGTTATCACTATAAACTAAACGCCTCCTTTTGGAGTATCAACAATCTACTGCATGCAGGAGCGTGGCCCCAAAGGAGGATACCTTACAAGATATGGCTGTGGAACAGAGAGTAGTAAACAGTAACAAGGTACTGCTCAGTGACCACATGACATAGCTTTCTGAGGAGGAAGATCACTCTAGACAATTTGGTGCAGATCTGGGCTATATGGTGATCCCAGTTCAATTTCTGGTCAAGCCAGAAACCAAGCAGATTTACTGATTGATTCCCTTCAACAGCAATTTGTCTACCAAGAGTGCAGATCAGGAGTTGGGTCTTGTCCGACGTTTAATTTCAACTTGTTTGAAGCAAACCACTCCATTGTTGTCTCCAGCAATGCACTTGCCTCTCTCTTCACCCGTTCAACATATCTACCTTCCATCACCAATGTTGTGTCATCAGCAAATAGTAATGCCAGCCCATCTATTCCTAGCTCAGGTAATGGGTACAAGTGGTTCATAAAGAAAATAAGTTAACTTACACATTGAAGATATTATTTTAACATAAAAAAACTGCTTTAGCTAGGGAAAACTCTTTGCCCACCTTGATGACTCTGTCGGCTGAGCCGGTAGCGAACCACTCATTGCCAGGCTCCACAGCCACACAACGCACCCATCCCAGATGTCCGGAGATGACTCGGAACAGCTTCCAGGGAGGATGCCACTTGGGCTTAGGCATGGAGGGAGCCTTGCGTGCTGCAATGGTAGTGACTGCCCCACCGGGTCCCGCAGTAGGCACTAGAGCCCCCGGGCCTCCGCTCATCGGCACCAACGCCATCTCACCATGGTCCATCTCACCTTCCTTCTCTATAGACAATAGAAGGATGTAAGTTAGCTTTTATGTACATAATGGCTGATACAAAGGTAAAAAAAAAAATGATAGGGTAGAAAACACAAAAAACAGATGGTAAATAAAGCCAAACGAATTCACATAAAATTTGTTAGGCCAAATTAACATAACACAAGATTTGGCAGTAGCTAAGTCAGTACCAAACAACTACTTTTGGACTCATAAAATACAGTACATTTTGATTAGGTACCTACATAACAAATCTTAATAAAATAAACTTAATAACAAATCTTAATCTTAGTAACTTTGAATCGGGACAGTAACCTATTACGAACTGTCATGTCTTTGATGTCAGTAGTATTCGCATTGATTGTTGTCTTGGTAGCTGAGCCCTGCCCAAAGTAAGCTCAATTCCATGGATTGTAGATATAATATCAGACTATGCCTTTCCCGAAATATCAGAACCAGTACTTTTCTCAAGAACCAATTAGTAGGCCTTTCGATAATTCCATTAGACTTACTGACCTGGATCACTTAAACTGACTTACAAATGATTATTAGGCCTAATCTAGTAGGTAGGCCTATTACCTCTCTGCTGACTGATCTCCATGGCAGCTTCTGCGGATTGTTGCTGTTTTTTCACTGCATTTGCTTGTTTCACTTTATCCATAACCAGACTGTATGAATCTTTTGCCTTGATTGCTTTTTTAATTTTTTCCCTAAAACAAATACATAATAAAATGGACTAAACAGGTCTTGGTTATAATAATGTAGGTCTAAAAAAATTACCATCGAAAGCAGTTGAATCAAACTTTTAGTTTTAGTGGACATCCAGTGTTCTGTAATGACATCAGCATGTTCTTTCATGCATCAATAATTTACTAGGCCAATGACTAATATTCGGATTTAGAATCAAATCAAAATTGAAGACAGTTTCTTTAACTTGGCATTAATTGATCAAGAAGGCTTTGAATCAAATGATAAGCGACTCCACCAAACAATATGGATTATGAGAATTCAATAGAAATACCCAGCAAAAGGGTTGGGACACATACACCAGACATTGGAGATAAGATTATTGGATAACTAGTTGCTCAATGCTCATCCTATGTATTGGAGGCAGTTAAAAGATTAGTTACCGTATTGTGAGTAGGCCTATACTTACGCTAACTCATCGATTGGGGGCAGCTGGCCTTGACTTGATAAAAACATATCATGTGTTCTCTTCAAGGAGCGAAACACCAGGGTGTGAACAGAATGTCTTTGGACCTCCTGAAAAAATAATTTAAAAAAATTAAAACCAAGGCCTAGACCCACCAACATCTTAGCCTAACTTAAATTAAATTGAACTGGGTGAAAAATGTTTAATAATAAAGTAAGGTTAAGTTAAGTGTCTAAATGTTTTAAAATAAGATTTCAGAATCTTCTAAGGTAACAAAATAATGTTAATATCAACCTAACATTTTAAGCAGTGCTTTCTGAAATTGCAATACACAAGAATAATTTACTTTAAGGCTGCAGATTCATAAGTGTCCCACAGAACAAGTGAATGAAATTTTCGATTATTATCAAATTATCGATTATTTCATTCGATAGCCTATGTCGAGTTTGGTTAGTTAGGTTAACCTAACATAAGTAACTGAATGAAATAAATCGATATGAATAATCAATATTTTTTATTCGAATGTTCTGCCGGACACTTATGAAACTGCAGCCACAGCTGTTTGTACAACTTTACTTTTGACAAGACACGACTTCACTGAAAAACACACAACTGGACTGGACAGTAACTTACAGACCTTCAGTGAGAGGAAAATTGCTAAAAAATTGATTACTCAAGGCCTAAAATATTTTCATATCTCAGGCTGACGAGAATTACTGAATGACTTAGACTATGGCGCTGGACGATTATCGACCGAGACGACATGGGTCGGGTTTTTCTATTAGGCTATTAAACTATGAAAACTGTTTTAATCGCAATGAATTTTATACCATTAGATAGCCTAGATGAGATTTTGGGGATTCATTTTCATGTACCTATAAAACATTATTGAGATGTAGCGAGAAACATAGTTTGAAAAACTAGAGAGTTCAAAATAGATTTTGGCGTTGAAAAGTTTTGGTCACCTGACTACAAAAACAGCAGTTTTTGGCGATCGACAACTAAATGATTACATATTCTGAAACTACACAATAAATTCCCTACAATTTCCTCTGAATCTATGAGGCTGATTGTAAAAATTGTATTTGGTTTTGAAAATGTCATAAAAATTATGTTTTCATAAAAAAATCTTCAAAATATTACATTCTGTAATACGTATATTACTGACTGTGTGGCGTATATTACTCAGAAATGTTAGAATTCAACTACGCCTAAGTACAAATAACTAGAATATATTTTTAAAAAGATCTTTTATTTCCTATTATGCAGTATCATATTTATTTTCTGTTGATGCATTCAATTATTTCCTACATGGTAACAAAAATTTGGTACCGGTAGGTAGGTAGGTATAGTTTTTCAAAAAAGAAAATATGTAGGCCTATGTAGAATTGCTTTATTTAGGCCTATAATTTAATTTCCATGAGTAGGCCTACCTATTTAATAAACATTGATATTTCTACGTAGGGAATCATATTTCACACAACCTTTACATTCAGATAAAATGTGTGAAACAAATATTTTGTGGCTTTCTTGGGGTTGCTTTTAAAATTTCTAATTTGTATACCAACCCAAAAATTTGCAAACTTTTTGCTACTACGCCTAAACACATTGCTAGAAAAAACCTACCTATTTTTATATCATTATATTCTACATTTAGTATCTTACTGAAACAGAAAATATAGGTATATAACTTAGGCTACCGGTACCTACTTATACTCAAAAACAACTGTTCTGTGGCGAAATATATGGTACCACTACAAAGGGCCAAAATATACCCGCCACCACAGAAAACATAACTTACTACTATAATCCAGAACGCTAACCGCATAGCAACGCTGGTGGCGCTGTCTACGAATTGACAGGCAAAGCTCTGTCCGAGTACTTATCGCTTTTTACCATGCGGTTGGCTTTCTCGGTTATACAGTAGTAGTATGTTTACTGTGCCGCCACTGGTGATTAAAATTACTGCCAGAATTAGGGTCAAGTAACTTAATTGGTTGGTACAAAATTGACTAAGTTTAACTTAGGCCTAGGCCTATAGGCCTAGTGTAAATCTTTGGCTGCAATCAACATTCATAACATAAAATTACTACGATTACGCCCCTGCCCCATAAGGTTTTTGTCATTTTCAGTTGGACAGAAGGTTTAAGAGGAATCTCATGATAGGCCGATAGGCCTAGACGTTTTAATAAACCAAGAGACCTAGGCCTAGGTTGGGTTAAATTGCTCGGATAAAACTTTAAGGAAGGCTAGCACTTTTTACCATCCGTAATTATTCCAAAGGCTTAATGACCTTAAAAAGGATGTTAATCGTTTAATAGTACTTTTAAATTAACTTAAAGTTAAAGGTAGGCCGGCTTTTTACATACCTCAGTCATGTTTGTGTGAAATCTGGACTGGTCTGGGTGCTTTGGGAAATAAAAGCAACGACAGAACAACGAACCTATTAACACCCCTAACCTAAATAACTTTAAGGCTAGTAAGTTATTAAAATAAACAAGTTATTTCGTTGATATTATTTTAATGAATATAGGCTAATTTACGTTAAGTTTTAGTTTGTAGTTCATCAAAAGTTGCCCAAGCCCAAGTTTGGTTAGGTATCTATCTGGTATGTATGTGTTTGTGTTTGTATGTCATCAGAGAGCAGACAGCGGGAGTGCTTTTAGTTTCATTGGGATCAATAGATTATTATTGGATTGGGTTGAGTTCCCGCAAGGCTCACGGGACGCTCCGTGACGTTGCTCGACGTCATGTATCATAGCCGTCTCTAGTAATTCATGACGTTCGCACTTCCCAGTTCCATTCCTCGTCTATTTTAGTCGTTCTGGTTAGTGGTTGCGTATTAGATCGATTAGTTTTAGTCGTATCTTTAACTGTTGCCAGCTTATTTTCAATCGTACACTTATTGTGCCTAATAAAAGCACGCTGTTTTGTTTATTTTTCCACAATCCCACCGGGGTTCCCATATGGTCCGATTATGCAGGTTCGCGAACTCGTTCGAATGATTGTAGGTTTACACGTTTGAACCAAATTTCATCAAAATCGGATAGTTTTTGCTCGAGTTATCGTGCTAATAGACAAATATATAAATATATATTAACATACCTATGAATTTGAACGGAGGGTGTTTTTGGGCTCTGTGGACCTCAAAGCGAAAAAGTATCGGTCCCGTGGGTCTAGGTCTTACCATGGTAGGTACCTACTGTAATAGCTTATTCTCCATATGGGAAATTCGCTACAAACAAGTATAAAACCTAGGCCTATACAAATTAAACCCAACCCGATGTGTCCATCTGCTGCTAGTATTTAAATGTTTGAAACAATGTATTAATGGACTCAGCTGGGTGGATAAATTGCTCGCCTAGTAATCAAAAGGTCACCGGTTCGATCCTGAGAAAGGTTAGCTTTTTCATGGTTCGAAACTAGACCCAGCTGTCCCTGATCATTGGGCTTTAAATAATGATCCTGATGAAACAGCTGATCTTAGTAAGTAATAAATCCACAAAAGACATCTCACAACAATCCACATTCATCCTTTACTGATATTCGGGTTGGACACAGGGTGATTGATATGTATATACACAATTTATTTTTACAATACCTAAATTCTTTAATAAGAGTTAAGAAATGTAATTTAGATTTAGATTACTTTAAAGCAAATTTAATGAGGTTTCATTTTATATGTAGGATTTAACCCTAGATTGGTGTCTTCGGTCTGTGAGTCCGATGACGTAATATTTTTAAGTTGTCGCCCCCCCCCGTCTACAACCAGACGCTGGGGCGTAATTTTTAGGTTACAGATTCTTCTGCAATTGTGTAATTCGCTCCCGTACACCGAAGACACTCAACTCAACGGACCGAAGACCCCTAAACTGAATAATATTACTATATACATGATATATGTATAATGTAATGCTATGTTCAATAATATAATGTATACATTTATTTTATATATGTAAAATTATATAATTGTAATCATTTTACATAGTATATATCTTGTGTTTCTATAGTTATATAGTTATATGGAATATGACGTATGAAATACGAAAACGGTCTCACAGTCCGAAGACACCAATAGTGTAGGCTAATCAACATCGACCCCCTCTTATTTTTTTTAACGGCCCATACTAGAAAAACTAAACTTGGCACACCTTTATGGCATTTTATGAAGTACTTTTTGGGCATCACCGCCACTTGGTGTACATCCTTCAATTTGGTGTACATCCCAAAATCCTCCATTTAGGGGGAAACTCAAAAATTTCAAATGGTAAGACCCATTGAGTGACCACTCATTTTGAAGGCCCTAGTAAAAGAAAACCAACAACGCAATTTGGAGGTCTCTATCTCAATCCAGTAAAAGAAAGTAGCCAATTGAAATTCTCAGAAGTTGTTTAACTTACAGATTTCCAAGTCTGGAGCCCCCTGTAAATTTTGTAACGGCTCACACTAGGAAAACTAAACTCTACACACCTTTATGGCATGTTATGAAGTACTGTTTGAGCCCCCTTGCTACTATGTTCCCAAACCCAAAATGGGGGATTTTGGGGGAAACTCAAAAAAATTAACTGTTGAGCCCCATCGAGTGACCCATTATTTTAAAGGTCGTGATAAAAGAAAACTAAAAACCCCCGCCGCAGCAAACCTGCCGACTAAGCGAATTTCCATTTGTCTGAATTGATTTTCAGTTAAATATATTTTAATAACATTAGGTTTAACGAGTACCTAGGTTTGCTGCTACAAGGAAACTAATAAAGTGTGTTTTTGAGTAAAATATTGATAGCTTAGTACAAAATAAATAAATTTGCCAAGTTTGATCAAAATATATTCATAAACAAGCAAACTACAACATTTGACAATTTTCTCCATAAGAATAACATGGGAATTTTAAATTTACATTTTTTTAATTTTCTCCGTTACTAATATTCAAACAAAAATACTTTTATATACTAAATTATTTGTTTTTTTAAGCTCTTTAAAAAGGTCTAAAGAGAAATTGGGAAATTTTGTGTTTTGAGGGTCAAAAGTGAGAAAAACCAATTTTTACCCCATAAAACCCCCCGTAAAGCCCCGTTCCCATGGTCCTATTGTGCTGGTTCGCGAACTCATTCAAGTTTATCCTGCTTTACACCTTTAAACCAAATTTCATCAAAATCGGACAAAAATTACTCAAGTTATTGCGTTCACGGACGTATATATATATATATATATATATATATATATATATATATACTAGCTGACCCGGCGAACTTCGTATCGCCTAAGTTATAGGTTTCCCCTAAGACAGACCGATGGAAAGAAAGTACCGTTACGTTTAATTTTCAAGATGATCTCGTTCGCATCGCTCAATCACGTCCTGGTTGAAGTTCGTTCGCTACGCTCACTCACCTTTTGGTTGCAAATTAGCTGTTGTCATAAATGTAAAAGAAATAATAGTGCCGCACCCTGTTGGTAATCCTTGTAACTTTAATGCTATTGAACATAATAGAACAGAACCAACTTGTTTAATTGAAACAGCTGTTAAGATTCATTAATTCCATTTCTCATAAGGTTAACATGGGAAACTCCAGAGCCACTGGGGCGGAGCCCTTTTAAGAATTTCGAAACGGGAAATAGTTTACGTCCGATTCGCATACCTACAGAATTTACACACCAAATTTCATAACGATCGGTGAAGTCGTTCCGGAGGAGTTTGCAGACAAACACTGTGACACGAGAATTTTATATATTAGAGATAAGTCTATATATATATATATATATATATATATATATATCCAATCCATATATATATATATCCATATATATATATACATATATAAAAATTTGAACGAATAGTGTTTTTGGCCTCTGGGGACATCAAAATGAAAAAGTAAATTGGTCCCGGGTCTAGGTCTTACCGTGCCACCTACGGTAATAGCTACTTCCCTATAGGGAAATTCGCTAAAACGCAAACTAGAGGTCTCTATCTCAATCCAGTAAAAATTGGCAACAGATCTTTAGAAATCAGAATTAACTTGCAATGTTATATTCAATTGGCTGCCATTTTTTACTGTATTAAGATACAGACCTCTAGTTTGCATTGATAGTTTCCTTTTATCACGACCTTAAAAATGAGGGGTCACTCGATGGGGCTTAACACTTAAAAGTTTTGGGTTTCCCCAAAGTCCCCCATTTGGGGTTTGGGAACCAAGTTTCAATTAGGCTAAAAAAAAACTACATAACATGCCATAAAGATGTGTAGAGTTTAGTTTTTCTAGTGTGAGCCGTTACAAAATTCACAGGTGTTCTCCAGACTTTGGATAATTTCAATTGGCTGCCATGTTTTACTGGATTGAGATAGAGACCTCTAGTTTGCATTGTTGGGTTTCTTTTACCAGGACCTTCAAATTGAGGGGGTCACTCGATGGGTATAACCGTTTGAAAATTTGGAGTTTCCCCCAAAATCCCCCATTTCGGGGATGTACACCAAGTGGCAGTTATACCCAAAAGTAATTCATAACATGCCATAAAGGTGTGCCGAGTTTCGTATTCCTAGTATGGGCCTTGGGCAACTTATCCCATGCATCCTTCACTCATATTTGGGTTAAAATACGCCCATAGTGGCGTCCCCATCATAAAATAATTGATTGATTGGTTGATCATTAAAATCTGCAAAATACTGTATCCATTCGTTCAGTGGTAGTTTCCAAATGGCGTGTAAAACTTCCTCTGTAGTATATTTGATTAGTGGTCTTTTAGGTCTTATATTGGCTTGATTTTAAAAATATGCTATGATTCTTTGTTTACATTTACGTCGTTATTTTGGGACCATCGTGTCAACCCAGTGATCGACGGTCAACCCATAAGGCCAATATTAAAATAAAAATAAAAAAAATTAGTTACTTTCATATAGGCATTATCGAAAATTGATTGTTTAATCTAAAACCTTCCAAACATTTGTCGAAACAACCGTGGTAAGTATGGCTAAAATATGTTGAGCCGTTATTGAGTGATAGTGTTAGAACTTTTAATTGAATTGAAGCCGATCCCAAAAAACTAGGCTCAGCTCAAAAATTTATAATAGCCTACAAGGATCGAGCATCTCTTAAAAAACAACATAATATGATGATGTTACATTTCATCATCAGTATATACTATTTTTAAATATTTCACAGAGAACTTCCCAGTTCAAAAATGTAATAGAGTCAGTACCCAATCTACAGTTGTCAAACTCGATACTGTCTATCATTACAATGCATACTCATAATGACTTTTCATACACCCCGACATGTGGATTTGGCACATGTTGAACCGCTTGTATCCGCTTGAACCGCTTGAACCTGCTTGAACCGCTTGTTGAACCGCTGAACCGCTTTACACATAAAGTAATATGAAAAACCCGTAAGAAAGATATTTCAATTTCTTAAGAACGGGCCCCCTCTTCTTATAACAAAATAGTGAAACTCAAAAACATACATTTTTTACTGTAGTGTATTACGGCTGAGTTTTTAATCGAGAAAAAGTGCATGATCTCAATCTAGCAAAGAGGTGATTTGGATTCTTAAACAATCTGACACCCATATACAACACACAGACTGTAAAGTAAAGTGGTGACGAGACACGCTGAAAAGCATCGGGAA